CAGAAGGGGGCGATCAGTGCCACACAGGCCAGCAGTAACCATGGTTTTCTCATTGCTGGCAAGTGTCAATGGAACCCGGCTGGCAACCGTGCCCCAATCACGGGGTGAGCAGGAAGGAAGTGATTTAGCACATGCATGCTTTTTGCAGGGGGACGACCAAAAGATGGCCACCCTCAACAGACTGCCACCAAAACCCTGAACCCCTTTTTGGGTAGCGTTCCTTCATTTCCTTAATTAATGGGGCATCATTCTACATCTATGTGTCCCAAGTCTACTTGCCTTGCAACAATATGCTTAGCTAGTCAGCCTAATCCACAGGCTAAATCCAAGTAAGAGCCCCTGCCTTTTCAGTATACCTGCATTTCCGAAGTACCATTTACATAATGGACACTTTTCACAAATATTTATGTCAGGATTTAAATTTTGGTGCAGCTAGCAATACAACATGGTTCAACACTGTTGTCTTTTAAGGAAGGGAGGATGTTGTGGTGGGTGGCACAGTGGGTCAGATCTGTAAGGTTCGGTGTTTGAATTTCACCCCCACTCTGTGTAGAGATTCTGCATGTTCTCCCTGTGATGGATCAGCATCCCGTTCAGGCTGTCCCCAGGCCTCTCAAGGCATCCTGTTCTATAGAATTAATGGACGAGGCGCAGGCATACGGAGAGGAGTTTTTCGCCGAGTTCATAGCTGTCCTGAGTTATGCACAGTGAATAGCCACTTACCAGCCAATCAGAAGATAACATTTGTTGTTTCCGGGTAAATCCTAAAATAAGTTACATGCCATTCCACTGCAAGCACGTTATTACATGGATGTGCACACAGATGGAGTGCAGACAAGGTGGAAGTGAAAAAGCATGATCACATGAATGCGGTGGGCTGGTCTCTCAAGTCTTGCGCACTTCCTGTGCGACACACACTCCGCCTCTACCAAATGTAATCTCACGTGTGAAACTTGCTGTACCTCTTTTTTCCATGATAGGCCCCCCTGTGACCCTGTTTGGGATAAGTGTTTAGATGATTGCTTGCTTTTGTATGTAGAAAGTAATGTTTCAAGTATTTTCCATATCTAAATGACAAATTGTAACTAGGCCTGTGGGTTTTTAATATTAATTTAACAGTGCATGTTATGCACATACAGTTGTCACATGACAAGGACTGTGATAGTCAGATGATTTGAGATTAGACTTGTCAGTATGTAATTTTTCATGACCGTGGTACAGTATATTGTGGTATATGGTATTGTCAAAAAAAAAAAAAATGCTATCCCGGTGTTTTGAAATCTTGGTGGTAAAATTGGCCAACTGGGCCAGAGGGGTTACCCGATAAGATTTTCTGAATAGAAATCATCAATAGTCAGTGTAAGGTTTGTTGCAGCTTTTCCATGAGCTCTGCTCGCGCTCTCCAAGCCAATCATAAGCATTTTTGTCCTTGCTATCGCTCTCACTCATAGGCAGTGCGGTGCGTTTCTACAAGAAATGAGTGAGGAGGAGAAAAGCGAACAAGAAACCGTCACCAAAAGACATGCACCTTGTGCTGCATGGAAATATTTTGGATTCCATAGAGATAATATTCAGAAAAAAAGCAAATTAATTTTCAGCACTGCTTTTTGTCAGCACACCTCACAGCAACACGACCAATTTATTTGACAGATTCTGTTATTAGGTAATAAGTTCTATTTGGCTACAACTTATTTTGGGTACGTTTTTCAACTCAGGTTTTGCTTTATAAATATTGGAATGTTTATCACAGTTTGCTGTCCAATATCATGCAACCCTATCTGTAACTGGCAAATTTGCTTTTTAGACATTTTTTTGCGCTTTAACAATATTCTATAACTAGCCTATAGCTATAGAGTAATACCATATCCCTCCATTGTTTTTTTTTAATCATTTGAATTATTATTATTATAAGCATATCAGATATATAGCAGGTTTATTGTTAAAATTTGATATATTTTGTGTTAGTCCAGCAAATTTTTTTTTGTCAGGCTGCCCGCTCCTTTCTGTAGCACAGAGAAGCTTCCAGCAGCGTAACTCATGTGTCCCACAGGCCTTCAGGGCCGTAGGGTGAAAAGCTCCAAAGGTTCTCACCTCCTGCTGCTGCTGTTTTTATTTGCTTTTAGGTCCCCTTGACCAATTTTGTAACTTATATGCCTTAAGAAGGTAAGGAAGCGCAGCTTTAAAGTTATATTTTAAAGAGACCATACTGATGTATCTGAAATAAACAGTGAAATAGCAGCATATAGATTTCGTTATATATATAAAAAAAAAATCTAACGCCGGGAAATAAATTTCTGCATCACAAAACAACATATTGCTATTATATAAAAATCAATATTCTGAGCTTTGCCTTCTTTATTAACAGCTTTCTGCTACTTTTTTTATTCTCCATACGCAAATGGTTTGCGCATTTTTGACGGGTATATAACAGTAAGGCGTATGAGCAAGTACTACAGTACCAATGAAATTATGACGTATACTTAGGGGTGGCTGTACAACATCAGGGGCCCTAGACCAAGCTTTACTTGGGAGGCTTTCTTACCAAAAAAAATGTAAAAATGCTGATCATTTCACTGTTATTTCAGGGGCCTCGGGTAGCTCTCTGTTCTGCCTTTGGCTAGAGTCTGCCCCACATGTACTGTTACTGACCACGTTTCACTGGCTGTTTTTAGACCGCGGATCTGTGAGCGTCTATGTAAGCAAACTGTTTCCAGTGGCCCCTTTTAGCATTGCAGGACATTACTGTTTCCCTTCAAAAGCCTTTGACTTTCTAAATTAAATCTGACCCCCTTGAGAATGGAATGGTGTCAAAGTCTGGCTTCGTTTTGGGCTTTTTTTCCCACAGACTGCTTTCACACGCTTGCTTTGTGTTGCATCAATGCTGAAAAGCACTCCAAGCTTATTTTGCCCTGGTAAACCCTTCCAAAACTGACTGTTACATCATTCCCATTATAAAGATCCAGTGGACCACAGAGTCTAATAGCCTTTCGATTGAAAACAGATCCAGTCTTTTGCAGCCCATTGTCAGGGGGAGCCAAACTTTATTTTATTCTGCTGTGTTGCAAATTTTTACACGCAATATTAATTTTGACTTCCTCTGGAAGACTTGTGTGTGTATGTACGGTTGTTAAAATAGCTGTGGTTTTCATGTGATGTTCTCTTGTTTGTAGCTCTTTAATACTATAAAATTTACAAAGTGCTGTTCTGTACTTCTGGAGGGTTTACCATGATCACTTTTTCCACCATCTAATTTTTGCACAGTATTTTTATCATCCTGCCTAGTACTAAATTTAAAATTATGGCTTTAAGAGGGCAGATAGAAACACCTGACACATGGACTTGGCAACGAGAAACAGGTTTATTATAAATATTTCCCTTCGTAAAGACAGATGGAAACAGGAAGCCTGGGGTGAATATGGCCCATGAGTAAACACATAAACTAGCAACGGAGCTGATAAAAGGAAACAAACAAACAAACAAACAAAAAAGAAGAAAGAAAATGCAGAACTGATGTTTCTGGGTCAGAAAGGGAAGCGATGGACACGGGGAGATTACTGCTCTAGGCACTGGCTTCATCCTACAGTTCTGGGTTACAAGTGAAATTAGACAGAACATAAAACTGTACCTATTCTGAAGAGAAAGCAGGGGATGTGGAATCAGTATAAATTAATCTGGTCACCTGACTTTCAATCAGGAGCTCATGACCTTCTGAACACAGAAAGAAATATTTACTAAATAAATTTACTAATTAAATTGAAAAAATGAATTTAGATTCTAATTTAGGAAGCATTGCTTGCATTTATTTTCACTCACTGAAATAATTTTTAATATGTATATAGTACAATATAGTCTACAGTTTCATTGCTTATGCCTTTTCACCGTACCTGCCTTTGTGTTATTTTACAATAAGCCCTTGCCTACAAACAGACATTATTTTTGTGGCCTCCTTGTTGAGTCTGACTTGTTTTTTTCTCCAAATTCAAAATAAAAATTGAGGGACACATTATCCTGCATGAAACGTTCATTTTCAGCTTCTCTTTGCATTTTGCTTTGAGCCCGCCTGTCCGAAAAATATAACCAGTGTCACACTTCGAGGAGACATGGAACAGGGAAACAAGAGCAGGAGTCGCAGGATCGGCGAACAAGGGATTTATTAGGGAAACCAACAAGGCACATGGGGAAAAACCGGTAAAGACGTCAATGACAGGACTGGGGAAGGACTAACAGGGAAGATCTTAAATACAGAGGACTAATGAAAACAGCTCGAAACAGCTGATGACATGGGGATTCCACACGAGGTTAACAAGGGGGCGTGGCACACAGGAGGAGTGGCAAGATTGGGACGTGACAACCAGGCCCTGCCAACGTTGTTGGACTTTTTCTGCACTGCAGTTAAATACCTTTTATTGTAAGTGATTCCGCAGTGCAGCCATCAGTTTGTTCGGCTTGTTTTTGTGAGCCTTGTCTAAGCTGAAGATGCACAAGTTAAATGGCCGGCTTTGGGCTTTGCTCTGGGGCCAGTTTGATACAATGAGCAGGAATGTGTTTTGTCAAATTACAGCAAATTTTGAATTTAGTTCTATATCATAGGATGTTTTTCTGCAATATATCAGTTAGCAGTGCAGTTAAGGAGAAAGGAGGATCATCAAATGAAATGAGTTTTATCCCCAGCGGTGACACTGAAAATAAGGACAAATGGCATGTTAGGATTGATTAGGGCTGAATTGTGTGGGGCATGTCTGTGGGCTGGGTGCCTCCAGGCCGTCGGGGCTGCTCTGTGCCACGGCTTTCACAGCGAAGGAGGGGCAGTGTAGATAACCATGCCTTTTCTGCAACGACTTGGAATAAGAGGTCAGCTAAAGAGAGCAATAAAAACAAGCACCCACACATGCAGATGTGGTGCTTATAAATCTTTTCCTTTGCACTTGTTTTCAGCCTGAATTTATTTTTATTGTTATACCCATTAACAAGTACTCCATTCTTCTTCTTCTTTCCTGCAGATCAACTGTGTTACCTTTCCCATGCCGATGAATATGCCAGAGCAACAGCTGCTGAAACCCAATGAGTGGAGCTACTGTGATTATTTCTGGGTAAGAGAGGAGCTACCTCACCCTGACCACCCTACAGCCCAAAATACCATTGATTCGTAACCATTTAAATACGAGTGCAGTATATATCATGTGTAATGCCCCATGGGTGGTACAGGGACCTACAGCACCAGGAATACTAGCAGTGCCTTTGTGCTGGAATAAGTCATAGTTTCTCTGTGAACAGTTTGCATGTCCTCCAGATGTTCTGGTTTCCTCTCCTACCCTGTTTTTTTTCCCTCTCCCTTGAAATATCATGTGATATAACACATCTGGCCTACAATATGTTTCTGTATAGACACTCAGAACTGTAGATCTATAGAGTTTAAAGTATAATGTCCATTGTACAGCCCGCATTGTTTCCTTTTCTGTTTTCAGTTCCTGGACTTAACCATTCAGATCTTTTACAGACATGAATCTGATTCATGCTTTCTAACAGTTTTGATGCTTTGCCCTTACTTGGTCATTGCCATATAAGCACTGTATATATAATCGATTCATGAAAATAATAAAAAGGGCATGTTTATGGCACCTCTGCAGTTTTATTATTAAAAACATGGCAAATCAACATTCTGCTTGATCCCACTTTACATTATTTTCACAATATGGATGCTGTTTATTCAATGTCACCTTTTTCCTTGGTGTGAAACTTGACCCTGTTTCTGGCGCCAAACTAAGTGTATTATTGTATTAGTAATGTCCTCTGACCCTGACCAGGATAAGAATGTGGAAAATTAAGACGTTCCACCAACGATGGACAGCACTGCTTCAGAAGCCTTGAACAATGCACAGATGTACACCAGTTTAACTTAATGTCATCTTCTTAATCAAGAGCAAATACAAAAAAAATATTCAGTTGGTTGTTATTTGTTTACTTTTAAAGTTTTAGTAGTACTCTGTGGGATTTGCAGTGTTTAGACTAAGATTGGGCCACATTTTGTCTCTTACATTCCAGCACTGTGTTAAGAAGAAAAGATTTGTGTTTTTATTGAGATAGTGCTCATCTAGAGATTTCCCACAGAAAGACTCCTGAGGGATGTGTTATTTATTTTTAGCATGTGTTCCCGATTTCCTTTTCCTTCCCAGACTGACAAGAAGGACCCCCAGGGAGCAGCCTCTGTCTCAGGGTTCGAGGTTCTACTGCAGAAACAGCTTAAGGGAAAACAAATGCAGAAAGAGATGGCAGAGTTTTTGCGGGAAAGGTAAAATGGCTTTATTGCTACAAATTACTGCAAACTCATTTTCTCTAGGTTCTATTTATCAAAAGTGATTTATATTTCTGGTAAACGATTTTTCAAGACCCTGCACAAATATTTATGATTAACTTAAGTTTTTCATTTTAATTATTGACAAAACCGGGCAACATGGTGGCTTAGTGTGCAAAACCTTTGGCTTGCACTCCCTACGGCCGGGGGTTTGAATCCCATCTCCAGCTGTGTGCGGAGTTTTAATATTCTCCCAGTGCTGTGTGGGCTTTCTCCTACTGGCCCTAGAATGCCATCCAGGGTGCCCATGCCTTGTGCCCTCCGCTTCCTGGGATAGGCTCCAGGAACAGCATGACGCTGTACTGCATAAGCAGTTGAAGGATGGATAGACGATAGCCAAATTAACATTATGTATTGTTAAGAAAAAGAAGAATTTTGTGTTTGACCCTGCTTTGCCAAAGTATAAATTCATTTTATTGTAAACATACATGTGAAAGTAAATACTGTACAAATGATTGTGATACCTTGCAAAAATATGAATGCTCTTTTTTAGCCACAGAGCTCTGGCTTTAGAAGCCTTTGTTTCCAAGATATTCTGAGGCATTGTTTTTAACTGGTGGTTTGTGTTCATTTTGGCATGTCTGCAGCTCACACTGTAAGAAACATCCTGTGTGGTTGGCATTTCCCAAAATGCATTTTTTGGGAGTCCCGCTCCTCTCTGTCTTGTGTTTCAATGATACCTAACCTGTCTAAGCCAAACTGCAGCAGAATCCATGATTTCTTTAAATGCACTTCCTGTAGTCACATATTCTGAGGGACATTCTGCTGGGAATTTCTGCCATAGAGAATTATTATGTCATCCAGTAGTATTGTGTCCTTGCCAGGTCTATGATGGACTAATGTCAAGGGTGTTCTGTTTTGTCTCCTGGAAAAGATCATGGGCTTGCATTGTACATTATTTAAAGTAGAGAGTAGCAAGGCTCTTCATAGAGTAAAGCAAAGTAATAGTCAATGCAATGAAAGCAAATTATTTTGGAGAAATCAGAAAGATTCTATATTTGCATCTGCTTGAAAAATGAATAGGAAACCTATGGATGTTAAACCTCATTCTGTTATGAAAGTCTTATAAGCCAGGGGTGGCCAATCTCATCCACAAAGGGCCGGTGTGTATGCAGGTTTTTGGGATAACCTGTAGGTCAGCTGTTCAAACCCAGGTGTGAAGACTCTTCAGCCAATCAGTCCTCTAATTAGTAATCTAATTAGGAAGTTGCAGCGAAAACCCACATACACACCGGCCCTTTGCGGATAAGATTGGCCACCCCTGGTATAAACTGTTTTTATGCCGAGGCAGCACATTTGCTAACCAGTGGGTGTGCAAAGAACTGATCTTCTTGTTTCAATTAGAAAACATTTTTGTCCTAGCAAGGGTATGCACTTGCTAATCTGCATTCCGCTTCATGCTTTGTGGTTCATCTGCTTGGTGACGAGTTTGCTGCCACTCTGCATTTCCAGTTATTTGTCCATGCTGCACCTTCATTATTGCAGTTTATAAAGAAACTACATTCTTCATTAATAATTAAAAAAACTAACTGCATTCATCAAGGTAGAATAACTCCGTCATTCTAATATTGTTTACCTCTGCAAACATGCTGCAGCATCTCCTGCAGCAATGGATGTTAATGAGATCTCACGCTCACACACGCTGAATTTATGCTAGTTCTTCAGAGTGTGAATGCCTTTTTCCAGTAAACATCCGATTTGGCTGTATAGCTGTAAGTGGACCCCCACCAGTTATAAGTGAATGTTTTTAAGCAAAGGAAGAATGAGCTGTAATCAGACCGTGATAGTAGGAGGGGCCTAATGGTGGGTGATTGTCTTTACTGGTCATCACTGGTCCTGTACTGGCCTCCTATCAGTATTAGTGGACACTCTCATGGCATGATCCACAATGTGCCACAATTGTGGCAGTGTGTGGTTCTGCAGGTCTGGCTTTTGTGTCCATGATCGAAAGGTCACCAGTTAAAATCCTGGCGCAGTACTTTCACTGAGCAAGGCCCTTAACTGCTCTTTATCAATTGTATGTTGCTTTGGATGAAAGCTTCTGTCAAATAAATAAATATAAATGTTCCCGTGTGTGTGCAGGAAAAAAATTATGTTGTACTCTCCCCTCAGTAACCACTATGGAAAGAGTACTGCTTAAGAGTATTTTTTCGTCCAGTATTTTCCACTCAGAGTGCTTTGCAGTTTTGAATTTATGTTGCAATTTCTGGTTTGACTCAGGTATTACATAACTGTACACTTCCTCTTTTTGAGTGTAACACTAATTGTTTCCCCTTTATTGAATGTCTGGTGAATGATTAAATATTTTTCTTGCAATTCAGTGAACATGCTCACATATTTGTTGAGTCCGTGGTTAAAAATAGAATCTGAAAGGAAAATAAATGGAATCATGATTAAATTTAGGGAGCATTTATGTTGATACCTGCTTTTGGTTTCTTTTCTGTTTCTTTATTATAAACCACCCAGGCTATACAAGTCTGACTTGTGTTTTCTACCATTTCAGAATAAAGATTGAGGAAGAATATGCGAAGAACCTTTCAAAACTTTCACAGATTCCATTAGCTGCACAAGAAGAAGGGTTAGTATTGCTGTTCTTTTTGTTTTTTTTCTGTATTATAATACTGTATCATTTGTACTTTGCATTGTGGGATGATTTAGTGTTTTACAGTTTCAATACTTTTAGATGCTGATTGCAGGAAATAAAATTACAATGTCTGCATATTTTTTGAATGGTACGCACCTTAGGGTGACTGGTAAGAGGGTCTGTGTTCGTTTTGTACTGTTCCTTTATCTGAAGCCACATGAGAGGGAACTGCAGATTTATATTTAGTGGTAAAACAGTAGACTAAAAAGAACAAATGAACAAACTAAATAAAATATCCCTTAATGTAGAGGAACACACTCCTTTAAGTTGCTGTATAGTTTCCCAGCCTCTTTCTCCTGTTCCTCATCGCTCTTATTCAAATCCTACCGGAAGCCGGGAGGGAGCAAAAACGTGGACTGGCTGCGGGCCCCCAAGGACCGGGTTGGGAAGCACTGATATACAGTATATTACCTTCAGGAAATGAAGATAATGCGTTTGCAAGGGCCACATGGTTTGCTTACCTGTACTTTCTTTAAACCCCCCCCCCCCCCCGCCCTACAGCTATGGCCTCAGCTTCACTTTGTGAGCACATGTGTTTAACAGTAACACTGACAAAGTTCAGGGCTGCCTTTCAGTGTTTCCGTAATGGAAGCAGGCATCTGAAAATCTGAGCTGGATGCCGTGGAAACGAAGGAGCCGCGGTTCCCCTGTAAATCACAGCTGGGCCCGCAAGGTCCTGCAGAAGGTTGAGATGATAAGTCAGCACACACTGAGGCATATTTTACATTACTTCAAAGCACTCGAGATTCACTGTTCATGTGCTTTGAAGTGATGAATAAATCACTGGCGGACAGAGCACCCCTTCTTGCCATTTTTTAACCCTATGAAGTATGTGATAGGTGGTTTGTTATATGAGGATTTTGCTATGCATGTGTTCTGCTATTGTTTGTGTCACAAGAGTATTTGTCATCATTATATTTTTATATATAAATATACGGTTCAAAATGTTTTTGTAGATCTTGAAACGTTGAAATGTTGCATTGGCATAAGCACTGTTTTTATTGTCCTGTACCAAGGTACCAATCCACAGTAGAAGAACTACAGCAACACTATCGTGTCATTATAACAAGGAGCTATTGTTTCAATAGCATCCACATTGTGCACAGTGGTCACTCGTTTGCAAAAAGAAACGTTTTAATCCAGGACAAAACTTCTGTTATTCCATCCATTTCCATCCCTTGTTGTGAAATATGAATCATTGATCTTCTGACTGGCCTCTGTATCCACCATCAGATCCACTTGTTTTTTCACAAATTTACTTGTCGTGTGGCTATAACGTAAATGTGATTGTTCCCAAAGTACTTGTGACACTATTACTCTGCAGTATTGTTTTGTTTTTTTCTTCTATTGCTCTTGGATTTGTAAGCCAGCAGTACTGAAACAAATGAGCTGAATTAGCTGGAGACATGGGCTTAGCAATAAAACATCAAAAAGTTTAGCCAATCGGAAGTGAAGTATACAGAAAACACATTAGCGCTTGAATAAGTAAATGAAAAAATTAAGCTTTTAAAGACATTGTACCAGATTTACTAATGGTTTGCACCACTACAAATTGTCAGGATTGACTAAAGACACAAAGTCAAAAGTTAGCAGTGGAAAGGCACTGACAGTTAATTTTTGCGACTGGCCATATTGCATATGCACTTGTAGGAGTTCCCTTTCAAAGCACTACGTTTGAGGGTGGGGAGTATTTAAATGAATCACGCAGTGTGATTTAATAAGGCTTGTGGTAGGCAATTTACTGCAAATTGCACCTTTTTAACGCCGAAAATTAAGCATATCTTATTTTGCGCTGGCCTTGGTAGATTGAGTTGGTTATTATTTAAATGAACTGACTGTGTCTGTGTTCATAAATTTGTGCATTTTTTTGTAGATCACCCACAGAACTGCCCATTCCCATTGGTGCTGTTTTTTGATTGGGCCCCACACTAATTTGCCCTATTTAATCTGGCCCATTTAGTTTTAAGTTAGGTAAAATATTATTGTAACTCTAAAAGCTAACCCTCTAAGAAGTGTTCATTGTTAACAGCATAATCACCTCAGGCCTCAGAATGGTGGCTATTCAATTATTCATTACCCAAGAACCCAATTTTTTTTTTAAATCAGACATTAGAGGTTCTGGAGAGGACTGCAATACAAGGAACTGATATTGCTAAATAACATCTCATGAACATCTCTAGAGTCGTGCATTTGGAGGAATGCAATTTCAAGATTGAGATATACTTGTAATATATGTTTTCATACATCTGTTTGTAAAATAAATTTTATGCCAAAAGCCCTTTTAGAGATGACTGTGACATGTCAAAGAAATATCTTGTGTGTCAAACTCACCCCAATTCAACAAGAACTCTTGTCTTAACCTACTCGGTTAAAAATACTTTATCTTTATAGTAGACGTTTCTGTTTTATTAGATGCCATCATTTTGCTATAAAATGTACAAGTGCTGAAAATAAGGAGACAGGAATCATGATTATTTAGAGCAATAAAAATCAAAGTTAAAATCACCAGTGGGCCTTAGATGATTAGAGCTCTTGGCCATAGCAATTAAACGTATTCAAGGAAAAGTTTTGTTGAAGCAAATCGGTTGATGCCATGATCTTTTGCACTGTAGCTTCAGTAGAATATTTAGATCGTAACTTGCTCCCTTAAACACCATGGACATTATTTTGGACTGAGAGCTTGTCTGGTACCACTGTACAGAACTCTTGGAGAAGCTTGGGCTCAGCTGAAGAAAAGCCTGTCGGATGAAGCGGAAGTTCACCTGAAGTTCTCATCTAAGGTAATAGAACATTCCATGAAAAGTACTTAATTCCGTTTACTAGTTGCATACCTACCAGGCTTCATGTCATACGTAAGCATCGCTGCCTATGTATTACCACAGGCTGGTGTCAAATCATAATAGTGAAAAGTGCACCAGAAAGGCTAACATTCATATTGTGTGATTAGTTTAGCTGTTGTACTTACTAAGCCTTTAACTTAAGAAATTAGTCTTAAGTCATTTTTTTAGCCTAGTTAAAAATCTGCAAAAATTAAACAAAGCAGTTTAGTGTATAGTGAATCTATTTAGGATGGGAAGCTAAACTTGAAAACTGAGATGTATTTTAAAGCAAAGCAAACGTCATTTGTTACCAGGAGCATTGATAGACATAGAGCTCTACTGTGGCCCCATTATCCATATGATTTGAATGTGATTTTACTGGGGCACAGCACATAAATATTGGGGCACGTACCCCAGTAAAAGGGCTCTATCCACAGCCATGATTGTTACTACACAGCGTAAAAAAAATAGTGTATTATTCAGCAATCTTATGACATTTAAAACTGAATATACCTTATGGAAATATGCAAAAGCCTAAGAAGAGTTAGTTTCAGCCAGTGCTTAATTTGTAAACTCTGAGGTGCTGGAGCTCGTAAAGTGCACAGAGATCTACTGCATCCACCATTATATGAGGAGGCCGTGTACACAGACTTTGAATGACGTCACACACACACACAAATCGGTCTTTAACAATACTGCGCTATTAATTACATTGACACGTAATAATGCTATATTTTCTATTGATACCTGTTAGTTACATCAAACTGTAAAACAGACTTACCCTGTTAGTTGAGCTTAATACTCCAGACTGTTCCCACATCTATTTTACTGGCCAAAAAGTACATTTTTCTCTGTGCATGAGGTGCGGTTTTTCAAATGAAAATCATAAAAGTGGAACATATTAATTTAGGCAGATTTATGTCAAAAAAATCATACAACACAAAACCAATTTTATAAATATACATTTCTTTAGTTAAATCTCTATACATTTCAAAGTTTGACGCGTTCAGACTGCCCTGAGCTACAGGCGCCAGGGCTGAGATTCAGCAGGCTCCAGCACAAATTAAGCACTGGTTTCAGCTATAAACAATTTACTATGACATTATTACGACAATTAACTGCATTATATATAAAAAAAAACAATTGTTTGAACATAAATTTGGTGAAACTATGAAACATCACATAAAATGTTACTAGTTGAACCTAAATTATTTCTAGGGCAAGCTAGACTATCACCATCTGACTATTGCACACAACATAAAATGATATTTTATTTGACCTTAGTACAAGTACATAGGAATTATTTAGTTTTCACATCTCCTCCTTCCTTCTACATTGAAACTTGTATTCAGGTGAGAACAAAGTTTGGGGTGAGAGCATGAGCTTTTCCATTTAGCCAGCATTCCTGGAGTATTTTGTGGTGTTAAAGGCTTTACTAAAGCACTTAATGGAGATGCAACTAATCTGCCAAGCGCAGGATTCAAACCGCCGATCTGCCAGTCACCAGCATAGCGGCCTAACCGTCAGAGCCACACAATGCCTGTATAGTCTATGGAACTGATTGATTCTGGTTCCTTCATTTTGGTGCACAGTTGCATACCTGCTGTACATCTGCTTCATTGAATTAAAAATGGTGAGACTTAGCTAATGAGAAAATCCTGGTGCACAGCTGGAATGGAAAACCCTACTATTTATTGTTTTTTTTTTTGTAGTGAAATGAATTGATAAGCGGCAACCAAATGAGTACCAGTAGGCAGTGGGCATGTAGAAATGTTGCTGAATTGATATGTTTTTTTATACTTTGTTTGAATTTGTTTATTTTGACTGTATCCTCCTTACAGGACGACAATGACAATTACTTGATTTTCTTGGATTTCCTTCAGAAGTTCTCAGTAAAGCAGGGGTGCCCAAATCCAGTCCTGGGGGGCCGGAGCCCTGTGTAGCTTAGTTCTTTCCCTATTCCACCATAAATGATTCAGTTCAAGAGCTGTGTGGTAATTAGCACAAGCAGTTGAATCGGGTGTGTTAAATGAGGGGAAACCCAAAAATGTGCAGGGCTCCGGCCCCCCAGGACTGGATTTGGGCAGCCCTGCTGTAAAGGTTAAGTTAATAAATGGAAAAGAAACATGCTTATTTTAAGATTTCCTGAATGTCGACATGTCATGAAGTGTCAAATTCCAAGATGATGTCAAGTACAAGGGAGGAAACTGATTTGCTTAGGTTTGTCAAAGCAAGAGGAAACCAACACAATTGTCTGTTGTCATATGACCCAGAACCAATGATATATCAAATATTTTTGAAACATGCAGCAAACTCATTTCTGAGTCAGAATTCCTCCTTAAGGGTTGTGCAACGATGTTACGACACATTCCCCCTGACTTTAGTGCAATTTGCTACATACTTATTCCTAGTTTAGCTATATAAGATGTTTAAGATGTAACACATGATTATGTAGTTTGTTTTGTTTCCTGTATACTCATGTTGATTTTCCACATTGTTGCGCAGCTCCATAGTGAGGTGGAGAAACCCCTCCTCACGTTCCGAGATAACTTCAAGAAGGACATGAAGAAGTATGACCATCACATTGCCGACCTGCGAAAGCAGCTGGCCAGCCGATACGTTTCGGTGGAGAAGGTACAAGAATGTTGATAACCCTCTGGGCCCAGTTTGCTAGCTGTGGTTATAATATATTAACTCCGTTTCATGAAGGAAAAAGAGAATTTCATAATGATTTACACCCATCTTTACACACAAGTATGTAAAGGACAGTGTGCTGTTCCAGTTATAGCCTTATGCTGTATCTTCACCATGACACTGTAATGAATTAGCAGCTGACAGGGTGATAGATTGAAAGACCGATGGAGGTTCTGACTGATTTTGTTATGATGAATCATATGAAGAGCCCTGTAATTATGATTCAAAGCTAAATCTAAATTTAGAAAATTTGACTGTTGCGTGATTAAGGTCTGTACACAAGTGACATTTTGATAGCATGAAATGCAAAATTCTTTTTAATTAAGTAATATGGAATTGGTTTTGCCGGTCTGTATTTTTCTGTATTCCATGCACTACATATGTGCTTTGATTTATTTTCTTTGTGCAGCCTTCACCAGCAGAACCTCTTTTTCACAATTTCAAACATACTTGTAATATGTAATAAATCAAATATTTCTAGTGTAGTGAGTTATACTTGAACACTAATTCCAAAGAATGATAATTAATAAGCTTATGTCACATATCAGTGACCAGGATAAGTTCTTGAAAGATGGATGAATAAGCTTATGAAACCATTAAACCTATGAGGCCTTAAGATTAAGATTAACTTTACTGATCCCAAGGGTAAATTCTGGAATTCTTAATAACTCCTCAACATATATTTCAAGACACCAGACACATACGTCATGGCAGTTTTTGCATGTTACATTGTATACAAGGCATACATATTGCAATTAACAACATCCTGTCAAAAAATTTGATTGAAATAATCTTAATATGCACCTTCCTTTTGAGTAATAAGGTGAAATCCATTTTAGACAGGGCAAGCCAAGTTATGGATATGTTTGCATGTTGCGTCAATATTATCCGGAGAATACTGTTGCAAGTGTAGCAAATCATGGAGGATAGGACAAGACTGAGGTTGATGGGCCATGACTCATCTCTTGTTCTATGCTGTCCAAGTCTCGCAAAGCACTAGCAGACAGACAAAAGGACCTGGAGACAAAAACCCAGCAGCTGGAGATCAAGCTCAGCAATAAGACAGAGGAGGACATCAAGAAGGCAAGACGGAAATCAACACAAGCAGGTGGGTAGCCATCAGCAGCTAGTCACCAGTTTCACTTTTTTTGCTGCACGAGTACTCTTGCGAGAATGAAACTTAAATAGTACTCAATATGTGGAGTTTCATGTAGAGTTTCTTGGCTATGTACTGTATGAGCTAATTTTTGGCCCATTTGTAATGTAGTGTGTAAGTACGGTATGATACAATATTGTTAAAAATAGTGGCACATGATGTTTAACAACAATAGTCTCTGGGCTGAGGGCTGGTGTTATCATTTTGTCCAAGCAGTATTTAGAATCACAACAGACCTTGGAAACATATGTTATGCTCTATTTTCATGGTGACCCAAAAGAGCAAATGGGTGTAGGCTAATGTTGCAGTCCCTGGTGGCGAATCTTTTGGCAGAAACAGAGAGCAGTTTTAAATGGAGTGTTTCTCCTGCCGACATCAGCCATTCTATACTCGGGATGACTGGAAACACAAACAAATACCCTGTAAAAAATGAAAAAGACTGATTATCTTAGGCAGCCTGATGCATACAAACAGACAAAGCCAGGTTTCTGCTGTCGTGTGTATGAACAAAAGTCACTGGTTCACACACTTTGAAACATTCGTTGCACAGTGTTTGCCAAATCCCCTTAGTAATGTGGGGTTAAATGCCAGTCCTCCAGATGATGATTACAGGGAAGGATTGCCAGCTGTAATTCATTTAGGAAGTAAGAAAGTGAGCCAGTGAGTGAGTCTGATGTCTGTATCGGGCCTGACGGAGCCCAGAGCGCCATGACGCTGTGGCAGGGCAGTGGGAATACATGGAATCTAAGAAACGTTCTCTAACATTAGGAATTATTGTAGTGAGTATTATTTTAAAATAAGCCTTTGGCTTTTAATTCTATGTTGCAGAGAAAAAGAGGAAGGAAATAAAACTAGTGAAGAACCTAAATATGAATGTAAGGTGTCATTGCCAATGTATGCTTTACAGACATCTTTGAAAAGCTTATGGACTCTGAGAAAACCGATTTTGCCCATATTTTATTTAGTTATTTTGCAACAACCTTAGCAATCCTTTACAAGAAACGCATTATCTTCCTGATGAATATATTGATTTTTAGAAAGAAATGCAATTTCATAAATATTTCTGCAAGGTGCTCCAGTATCAGTGGAATGTAATAAACACATTCCTTTAAAAATCCCTCACTGGACAGAGCAAAAAAATGAGTTGTTGGAGTAAGTAAATTGTTTAAATTTAGTAAATTGTTTAAGGTGTATAATACAACCTGAAACCCCCCAATTTTGAGAGATATGTAATATAATATAATAACTTTATAATAACTTTAATGAATTAACAAATTAAATAACACGTAACAGATTATTAGTTCATGTACATTCAAATAATTATAAATGTTACCAAATGATAATTCACGTAGCTCTTGTGTTTTTAAACATTTATAAATGATTTAAGAAATACTAGCTAAAGCATTTTGTCACTCTTCAGTAACACATTATTAATGTTGAATATTCGGTTCAATCAATGACTAAACAGACTTCCTCACACATTAATTATACCTGTTTCATTTACTACACAGTACTTGTTGATGGGTTGTACAGATTTAAACCACCAATTTCATATTTCCCTCTACTTTGTAAGAGCAAGAAATTAGGCTTTTTGATGTTTACAAATCACGTGATGCAGACCATTTTGCAGTATCTAATCTGAAGTTGGAATTGTTCATGCACTCTTATCAGTTTACTGGCAGGCATTGAGTTTTGAGCTGACAAAGTTTGTGCCCAATTAAGGGAGCAATGCATCCTGAGGGGTGGTTGATTAAACAGTTTAGCTTCATGCTTATAACACAGAATAATGACAACAAGAACACCACCACACCAAAACTCCATGCTTGTCAGTAACATTTTCAGACCACTACTTCCTTAAACAAAAATATCTTTCTCCAAAAATAAAACAACAGTTAACAAGTCCAATTTTATGCAGTAAATGCTTCAGATGATATACTCGCAGTAATACAAAAACACAACTTGAACCTGGGTTATCTGAAAAATCAAATAATTAAAAGAAAAATATAGTTGTAAAAATTTGACCGTAAATGAATGATTCCCAAGCGTTCACGGTTGATGGTAGGTTGCCTCTATAGAAAGCAATAATACATGAATCATCCATTGATAACAGTTGTAAGTATTTTTATGTACATGAACTAGTAATCTGTTAAGTGTTATGTAATGTTTGTTAACTTATTCTTGAAAGTTATAGTCTCAGTATTAATTTGTGGTTGTTGCTGCCACCTGGTGGAAACCCTACAGTACATACTGTCCTTACAACATGTAATTTAGTTTTTGCTAGATTATTCTTTTCTGATTCATCATACTTCACCTACAACCTTAAGTTGAATGAAAAAAGTACTTAAGGATTTCAGTGCTTCCATAATTATTTTTTGTGTATTGTTTTATAATACAATACTGGCTATCACTCAAGGATTATGTACATTGTAATAATACAATGCAAATCTAGCGTAATGACCACTTTTATTTGTGTATTTCCTTCTGTAGGGGATGACCTTATGCGCTGTGTTGATCTTTATAATCAGTCCCAGTCAAAATGGTTTGAGGAGATGGTGACCAGCAGCCTGGTAATTATTCATAATAACTAAACACATCATTTCTGCCAATTTCTGTGAACTTATACATAACTCCAATACTATGCTAAATTATTTGGTTGTCAAATAAAATTAGGTTTAAAGCTGTTTATCTGGGCAGCCATGGCATATTTGTTAGTACAAAATTATTACATTGTAATATGTAATAAATTACATAACCATAACTATACAAGTTGAGGGACCCCCAGCCGTCCCATATATTTCTTAAATATCACTTTGACACGGTGTAGTCAAGTTTGACCAATTCATGGTTATATTGGATCATAACTGCAAATACTTCGGTGCTTTTGACAGCACTGTACATGATGAACCTGGACATTGAATGATAAGTAAAACAGATTGCATAAAGGTACGCTTTCTTCTGAATTCTCTCTTATTTCTCATAGGAACTGGAAAGACTGGAGGTTGAACGTGTGGAGATGATACGGCAGCTTCTTTGTCAGTACACAACTCTGCGGCATGAGACAGACATGTTTAACCAAAGTGTAAGTAACAGACGGTGCATTAATAGGGACATTTCTTTGATTAATGACAAGTGTAGTCCAATATAGGTCAATAAAAAATACAATTTGTGTTCATCCAACCTTGAATCTGCACCATTGCTGGAAACACTCTTTGCATTTTTCCTAACACAGTTTTGCATGTTCAGTTATCCATGCACACTTTTTTTTCTGTTGTATTCAGTCTTATTTAATTTCCATTAAAATGGAATACCAGCACAAAGAATCAGGATGCTTAGCATTCTTTCTCTTCCTTCATGTGTCCAACAGACCGTGGAGCCCGTGGATCAGCTGCTTCAGAATGTGGACCCAGCCAAAGACAGAGAGCTGTGGGTGAAGGACAACAAGACTGGGGAAGTGCGACCTGTGGACATGGAGCTATAGGGATCGATGGCCCAAAACCACTCTCACAGACGTGTGGGCTGCAGCTCCACTCTAAATCCTCCGACCCTCCTGTCATATAAGAACATTCCAAACTCAGAGCATGAGACTGTTATGGCCAACACTGCTAAATATTTGGCTACTGTACCATCTTCTGTACACTTCAGTGGATAATGTAACATAATTTCACGAAAGGTTTCAGCATATCTCTTAAAAGCATCAGGAAAATAAAATCCATCATGAAAGAAGAATAACATGCAGAAGCTTTAAGGTGTAAGTTAAAATACATTTTCATTAATAACACTTTATTTTATGCTTAACATTCATGATCTTATTTATTAGTGACTAATTAGCAAGGTAATTACACCATAATCCAAAGGCATTTTCTAGTTTTAACACTGACAGCTTCATTGTGAATAGTTGTGTCTGCTGATATGTTTTTAGGAGCATATAATTACCCAAGACTAGTGAAAACTTAGTTCTCGTAAAGAGTTCAGCTGATCATGTCCAGTCAGTGTTTTTGTAGTAACTCGATTAGCAGTCTTTACATTACTGGACCACATACATAGAAAGGGCTTAACTAAAGACGAGCAGAGGAATCTCATGTCAGTCGCTCTAATATATAATCTCTCAATGATTATTCTGAATGGTTGAAGGGAAGATGATAATTCTCATGAAAGCCATGGCTGACAACATAGTGATGCACGTTCGGTAGCCTATGGGCTATGCAGCCCCAAGTGCCTTGTCTCCGAAATTAAAAGTCCTGAAGGTAACATAAGTGTACACTCTTATGTCTCTTATCATGGTTTGTTCATCTGAAGGCAAGGTTGGTGCTGCCCCTAGTGGTGCAGAGCTCACCAAAAGTTCATACAAGGAGCTTGATTCCCATCCTCTTTGCCCTCCCAAAAGTCAGAAGTAGGTCCCATAATATTTTAGCACAGTCTGATCATTTATAAACAGTAACACCTTTTGTTCTTATCAGAGTGGTATGAATTGAATGGCTTCCGTATAGCAGAGCGATGCAGCATCTTTGTAGGCTATTAATAGACTGTCGCTGACTCCATGTTATGTATTCAGCCATCTGAATTGAATTTATATGTAAACATAAATTTAATTTATCTCACATTTGCATCATCCGTTGACCTGTCTATCCATTTCCCCTGAAATGGGTGTACTTGCTAATTATTCACAAATGATAATGATATTTTTATCATTATGTGTTAAATCTAAAATAAAGTGTTAGCTTTCCATAGTATTTTTATTTATAAATTTTCTAATCTGATATTAGAAATTGAAGTAGAAAAGTTATTTTATGTTAAAGATAATTATCATCCAGTGCCTTGGAAATGGAAGAGATGGAAACAGCTTTCATACACACTCAGTTCATCAAGTTACATATAATATTCTTAGTGATGGGAATATAGTGAGCATAGAGACAGAGGCATACATGTTGGTTTCTATGTTGGACACACACACACACACAAAATATGCTATATTACACCTTTTTCATGTAGACTTTGTAGATTCTGAGAAATAATATATATGGGAAAGTGCATTTTATTGAAGAAATGTAGAAATAAATATCTAATTAAATTGCAGATCCTGAAGAATAACATTAGAATTATATTTGAATTTTATCGCAAATGTTCATGCCCACTAAATCTGAAGCTGATGTTATGATATAAATGTACTTGTAAGAGAGGTAAATGTGCTAGTTTTTTTACATGGGTGCAAATAACTTGTGCTATTTGTACAAAAAAATAAGACCTCTATTTTAGGAAGCCTCATTATACAAACACAGTTGCATTAATTACTCAGATTCAGGGAAATATCTGTCATCACACATTTTAATTCCACATCACAGTTACACCATTAATATAGATAAAACAGTAACATTATCAAAAGGAAGTGCTTTTATATTGTTCTTAAAGACAGGCCTAGAACTTTCTGTAATATATTTTTTAAGTTTGACATGATCCAGATTGACTGTTCATATCTGCACCTTGGTGATACAAGACGCTTAGAAGAAATTTGTTTAAATGATGATGATGATGATGATCATAATAATAATACATTTGGTGCAGATAGCAGATATACAGCAGAATGGAAAGTCCTTATTGTCTTTGGAAAACTGTTCATTGTCATTTTTCATATTATTTTCATTTCACCATTAGACACTGTACATGGAAAAATGATTGCAATTCATTTATCCCATTACACATCTTTTTAGTTTTGTAGTCCACTATGGTCAGAATGCCAGGGTCAGATTTACGCAATCTAACCATGGTTTTAGTGCAGGACATTTATATTGCTATAAATCATGAAGATTGCATTTAAACTGTTGCTCACAGAAGAGTTACTGCCTGTAGGATCTCAGCTCAGTCAGATGATGACCTTTTCACTATGTACACCTCATAGTGCCTATATCGGTGAAAACATGAGAAATTGTCCTTGTATTGCTGCCCTTCTACCATTTATGATTTGTTTGTGTGTGTGTCTGTGTGTCTGTGTGTGTCTGTGTTTGTTTGTGTGTGTTGTTTTTGTAAACACATTTTTCAGAAGCATAATCTTGAAAAACTTGTGCACTCAAAATAGCAACACATTCCTGCCATAATATTTAAACTGTTTAATGGGTTCTTAAAGAGAAATAAATGATATGCAAGCATTTGGTAAAAGACCTGCTTAATTTGGTATGTTTCGCATAAGATTTTCAGTAACCAAACTTTCTTATATATTAAGGACCTTTGACATCTTCTGAGAAAAGTACATAGGCAAGTGTTTTTTCATGTCCAAGTATAGAACAGAATGGCCTGTTTCTGTAAAGTACCTAGAAGCTATCAGTTATAGGCTAGAGACGTCTCGTGAAGTTCCATACTTCATGAAGTTCCATACTTCGTGAAGTTCATGCATGTCAAGGTTCTTTGCATGGCATGTTAAGAATACAATTAAAAATATATTATACTTGTGTTTTTATTTCTTCTTATAACTGGATAGAGTGGTTTTTTTATGGTTAGGTCATGGGGAATTTGAGTCAAAGTGTGATTTATTAAAATGTGTTAATTGTCAGTTTGTATGTTTTTATAATGAAAATGGGTTTTATTTTGTTGCCGGAAAGCAAAGTTTCACCTGCCATAGTGTGGAAATCCAGAACGGAATCTGGCATTTTAATGAGCTGTAGGACATCTATAAAACATTTAGCAGTTTCCTGCAAATTGACAGCCAAACTTTACCCAAAATAACAGAGGTACAGATAATATATTAAACTTTTTTTTTAATGCAATGCTTATTTTTATACAAATATAATTACATGTAACACTGTTTTTCATTATTCTGATTTAACTGGATAACAATTTCAACAGAAGTGTATGTTTCACAGCTTGAATTTTTTTCATTGAATTACTCATTTACTGATGTACATGGTGTTACTGTTTCACATTGATACCTATATGTTGTGCAAAGTGTAATATGGCAAAATGGTTCAGTTGAAGTTATATTACTAGAACATTTTTGCTTTTTTATTGTAAATGGAAATATACCTGCTCGTCAGTGAAAGTTTTGCGTTAATATAAAAACCAATTAAACTGGATGTTAATTTTTTTGTGTTATATCTTGTAAAACAATGTACAGTGTACATTTCATTTTTTCATGTGCTTTTAAACACTATGTAGATGAAAGTTAATCAATTTTTGTTGTTGTTAAGTGAGGTAATAATTCCATACAACTCAAACATCAACTAACTGTAGTGGTATTCTGTTCAACTCTTGAAGAATACAAAACCCAACCTTGTATAAAGTTTGCTTGACTAATTAACTTATTTAGTCAAAAAAAAAAACTCAAATGTTATGTCTTAGTTAAAGCAATTGTAGCTGTATATACAATCAGTGGCCAGTGACTGTAGCTAGATACAACCCCCTTTATCTCCAGAAGCACCGCAACTGTAGGTGAGTCATGTCTTCAGATAGGCCTCTCTCTGCACACCACTTTAAACTCAGCTTTTCCTCATAGCAGTAACAAATCCGGCTCTTCTCCTCTAAGCTCCTTCATTCACAAGGTGTTTTCAGACATATACAGTAGATGCTATTGACTAGTGTGCCTTGTTCATCACATTATTTTACTTAAACTCTAGACAAGGATGGGTGGCTGTTTCTGAGATGCTGGAACCCTAGCAAGCAAATTTCCACTGCAGCAAATCCAGTCATTTCCAGAAACGGCACTCCAGGTCCCCAAGCTGCAGGTGCAGATGCAGGTAGTTAAACTTGCTGAAAAAAACAAAAACAATCCTTGAACAGTCACAACAGCAGCCAGAGCTGCCAGTTCCTACTGAATAACCATGCAAAAGGGACATAATGAGTGGCAAGTCTGTGCCCAGCCAGCTCAAGGAGGGTCCACTGGAATTTAGTCCTGAAAAGGTAGTGGAGAGGGACCAGAGTTATTTCCATGTCACCTGAATGATGCAGTTCAGCAAAAATTTAGTGGAAAGTAGACAGAATCCCCACATCTGTGGCTGACACTGGAGCAATCCTCACACATTAGCAGGTCCCATTCGGAAAGACCAGCTATCAGGAAATATGGGCTATTTTGACCCAAAATAGAGGGGCCTTTGAAGACTGCTGTATTATCGGCATGGAGAGCAGTGCTGGAATTCCTGCTTTACTCTATCTTTTATTATGCAAGTCTGGATTCCACTTTTTTGGCATAGAGTGTGAAAAATGTTCAGCTGAACACGCAAACCAGTGATTTCAACGCCAAGTGCTCCTCAGCAGCTGCAGCAAACTGGAGCCACCATGGATGACCTGGACATTGTAGATCCCACTCAACCTCATGCAAGAAGAATATACTGATAATAACTGAAATAAATTCAAATTAAAATAGCACCACAACAACATATTACTATTTCAAACATGATTAAACTTTCCTTATTAAATGTTTGTATTTAACAGTTGACACACACCAGTGCCATGTACAGACTTTTTCAAGGGCAGATGTTAGAACAGGAGGATGTGGGTAATGAAAGTTTTGCCGGCCGGGGGGGTGGTGGTAAATTTTGCGTGAACTTCGATTATCAAAAAAGGGTCACTTTCAATGATTTGGGCAAAAGGGGCAGGTGTTCAGCCCCTACTACATGCCCACTTTTTGACTTAGTTTCAGTTCCTCTGCAAGTTCTGCATTTCCCCAAGAAAGTTGAAACTAAGTTGAAATTTTGGATTCCCTGATGTGTACATACATGCAACATCACGAGATTAGATCCTTCTCCATCTTGCTGTTTTTGTTGAGTTTTGATCATAGAAACACAGCTTAGCACACAGGGGTGGAGAAAATGACAGAAAAGCCATATATAAAAGGACTACTTATGGTGAAATTAAAATACTGTTAGATCGACAAAATAGAGTTATATTGTGCTGAATGCTCATTATCAGTATATATGTCAGCTGAAAAAAAGAATCTGACAACCAGCAGTTTATTATGTGTTTTCAAAGCAAACTGTTGCAACTAATTTCTGAAGTGTTCGTAAAGGGTTTTCCTGAATAGAGCCACTTCCAAATTAGATAGCCCTGGCCCCTTAAATCAAGAAGCAGGTGAGGACTAAATATCAGGGCAACATCAGAAAAGAAGCTCACTGAGTGGGATAGATGGATGCTTAATAGGATAGTGGCGAAACCCCACAAAACTGCAGTTTCAAAAATGACCACAGCTCAGCCTCAACATAACCTGTAGGTTGTGAACAAAAATCTGGTTTTTATGGCTGTACTGCACAGACACATAGCCTGGAGCCCCAAGCAATGGAAAAAGTAATAGGGTCTAATGAGTCCTCTTTCAGCCTTTGTCCTCCATCAGGAGAAGATGGAGGGGAGCCTTTAACGTACGATTTCAGTTGCCGTTCAGCTAGCAGATAAACATGGGAGATCTCTGATGGTAGGGGCAGCCATTAAGGAAATCATTTGGTCTGGTTATTGCTCTGCTGGATCATATAATGGCCAAGCAATATGAGGCCATTTTACAGGACTTGTTGGTGCAAACATTGTTCCCTCATGATCTTCACTAATTCTAAGGCCCAATTGCCAGATATAAATATCTACTGTATATGAAAGATCTGTCCAGGAGCACAGAGTGCAGAAGAAGATTTTCACCTCCTTCATCCTCAGAACTGGAGGTTTCAGCTTATTTGAAAGTTTTTTTTCTGTTTTATTTAGATTTTTTTGCTTTTTTTTTTAATTTTTTTTATTATTATTATTTTATTTTGCAAACTTGCAACCGGGGATAAAAGGTAAAGCAAAACAGGAAAATAAACCAAAACCTTGATGGCCACTGAGGCTTGGTTAGTCTGAATACTGAGACAAAGGAAACCAGCTGGATTTAAAAATTCAGTCTTTGTACAGGTGACATCAAAATCAGTATTTAGCAGCTGTTTCGGTAAGACCAGGAAAAAGCTGAAGGATTTTTCTACTATAAGTTTCGGAACACAAAAATTAAGCAAAAAAAAATGTATACAAAAAAACATTTAAAATTAATTATTTAACTTTTGATTTTGTCCCCAGAAACTCGGAGAGCACTCCATGACATGCCATTGCTGTAAAACACAGCTTTTTAACAGTCTTTTTACTGTCTTCAACCTTAGTTGATTCTTCCTGCCTTTGAAAATCCAAAACTTCTTTATTTACGATTCAACGATGGTAAGATAAACAAAAAGACTTTTATTATTAAAAACAAATTTTCACAGTCCAGGCGAAATGTATTTATCAATTGACATTGAGTGACACTTGACAGTTTTACTGTACTAGTCAATGTACAGTTTTTACCTACTTGCCGCCCTTGATTATAATTTTATGGGAGCCCATGAGGGGGCGGCATGGCAGTGCAGTGGTTAGCACTGCTGCCACATGCCTCTTGGACCAGACCTCAAGTCTCCCCCATGTCTATGTACTAAGAGTTTGCATGTTCTCCCCGTGTCATCATGGGGTTTCATCCAGGTACTCCCTACAATACAAAAACATGCTGAGGTTTATTTTAATCAAATAGTTCTTAGGTGTGCATGTGTGAGTCTGCCCTGTGATGGGTTGGCACCCCATCCTAGGTTGTTCGCTGCCCTATGTCCATAGGTTCAGGCCCCCAGAATCCCTGAATAGGACAAGTGGTTACAGAAGATGGGTGAATGGAGGGATGGATGGGAGCCTATGACAATGGGAGAGGGGAGGGATATTCCAAGGGATGGAACACTTGTAATCAGTCAGTGACTGATGAGATATAAAGTAGCACTTTTTCAGGAAAGAGTCATGGAATGTTCCCGTTTTCCTGTCAATTCATCCTTGACAGCAGTATTGGAGGCTTCATCCAACTTCCCACCCTTCTGTACCCGAAGGGGGCTAATAGACATCCATTCCATCTCCATTTGCTGTCCCAGCAGACGTAATGCTTAGTGAGCCACTCAGATTAAGCACCTTTCTCAGGGGCATTACAAGAAGGCCTCTGGCCGGCTGCCACGAGCGCCTGTTTTGACAGTCATATTGGACGCCTTTAGTGTTACCTAACTCACAATTTGTGGATTGCTAATTATTTACTGTATAACACTCAATAAGCATAACTGTACTGTCCAGCCATGGACTAATTCTTAATACACCATATATTTTCTTACATAAAAAAACCCACGTGAAACACTGAAATCATTCTGAATTATAAAAAGAAACAATAAAATGTGTTCACCAGTTATTTTCCTATAACATTCATAACTGTTACTCAATCATCAATCATCAGCTTCTTCAGGGAGTTCAGATAAGCTGGGATGAGGGAGCTGACAGACTCGTCATCATGGATGATCTTCTCTCCTCTGCCCTCTGATCCGACAGAGCTGGGTGATCTGACCATCCCAGGGAAGGGGGTGCTGTAGCCCTGCAGGCACAGCAAAAAGTAACATTTCATGCAGAACCCAATAAGGAAGTAGTATCTATGCCCCCCCAACCCCTTTGCATCTTGTAACAAGAACAGACACAAACACACCAATAGTTACAGTTGCTGCACAATGAACGATTTCTGCACAATGAATGCTTTGTTAGTGTATATGTATGGTCTTAAGTCTTAAGTATTATATTCATTTCAAAACAAACAAATAAAAGTAAACAATACATACTAATAACTGCACAGGATGAAAAATTAAGATGATAAAACATTGTCATTCCCCGCCCCTCCCCCAGGCACCAGTGAGGTTATTTTTTCCAGATAAAAATCCATTATGGAGAATCATTAGTCAGGAAGTGGCTCTGAAGTACAAATACAAAGGACTAAATTGCATTCGGGAAATGACAAAATTGCACCGAGAGAACAGAAAATGGATTAGCGGCATAGAAGAACATCATAGTGCTTAGATATGCCCCGGAACACTACTGGCTCAGTCATCAGAAATAGAAAGGTGCAACACTCCACCTGGTGGCGTGCTAGCATAGAGCACCCCTCCTAGCGGGGTCCTAAATAAATACATACAACTTCGTTATACTCCTAAGTCGTTTTCCTTTAAGTGCAAGGCAAACATGATAACTATACACGCACACCATAGCGGCTTGCACACTTACAGAGGAGTACCCCTTGCTGAAGCTTCCTCTGCTCTTCGTCCTAATCTTCGTTAGCGCTGACTCGGCAATGTCAGCTCGTTCCTCTGCATCATCCAGCTCATGAACCGTCTTCCTGTACTTCGCCAGATTCATGTTGGCTTGCTCTTCCTGATTGTATTTTGGGATGATAACACAATAAAGAACAGCATTCCATTTTTGCACCAGAATTCATATATTTAAATGAAGCCTGTAACAACAAATTACAACGTCACGCTATGTAATAACCTGATAAAATGTAACAAATTTATAGTCAACATTATCATTTTATATTGCAACATTAACCTATTATTAGTATTATTATAACATTGCCCAAAAAGAGCATGAGCGTGTTTTCTGTTACGTGTCTGTTAAAATCTGTTATCACATAATGTTGCATTATTACGTAATGCATTGTTACAAAGTCTTTCAGAAAATCTCAAATAGGTTTGAAAAGCAAGAGGGAAGACTTCAATAAAAGCATAAAATCAATGCATGTTAGTCTTGCAAAAGTCCATACCGCTTCTTCCACTTGTCTCTTATAGGCCTTCATCTTGTTCTGCAGCCTCTCCACCAGTTCTTGCATCCTCTGCTGATTTTTCTGGTCCTCCTCGGACTGGAAGAGCAGTTCCTTCAGACGCCGCTCGTTCTTGCGTAAAGTTTTCACTGTCTCAGCGTGCCTCTTCTGCTCCGTGTCCAGCTCCAACTCCAGCTCTTTCGCCTAGACACAACCATTCATGGCACAATACAGAGATTGCAGAAAAATTAATGGCAACAAGCTGTCAACACAGAGACCAGACACAAGTATGTCTTTCAAGACCAAAGGTTTCACTTACATTGTAGGATTTAAAAAAATATATTCTGGTAACACATTACTTGATGGGGCACAAATATTTAGTAGTAACTCAGTTACTACTGAAGTACAAATCATGATCAAATCATGAACAAATACAGTACTTAAGAGGAGTCTCGATTCATTAATGATGAACAAACATGAGCAGTATTTCACGTGCTATTCATTACTTGTTCCTTCAGTTGTTCCTTAGTAGTTCCTTAAGTAGTTCACAAAGGTTTGCAGAATTAGATTTAATAACATATACTAACTGGAAAGATGCATTATGATTCATTAATGATGAATTAACATGAGCTCAGTATGCAACAAAGATTTAGTTTGTCGTTAATGAATGCATAACTAATAGTATAACACTATTATTTGTGCCGCGTCGTGTTACCAATATTCCTTATACGTCTTCAATGTCAGTCATATATACAGTGAATAATTTCTTAACGAAATTATTATGATGCAATGTTCCATTAATATAAAATGCTTAAAACACTGCGACATATTGCTAGTTTTAAAAGTCCTTTAAAGCTATAGCATGATGATTTCAATTCAGTAAATGGCTGAAATATTGAAAGCTGGCCTGATCCAGAGCCTACTTCTAGTTTACCTTCCCTTCCAGCTTCTGGATGATCTTCTTTCCCCCCTTGAGTGCCAGCTGCTCGGCCTCGTCCAGCCGAACTGTCATGTCCTTGACCTGGGCTTCCAGGCCCTTCTTCACCCTCTCCAAATGCAGCGTGTGCTCCTGCTCGTGCCGCAACTCTTCTGCCAGTCGGCTGGCCTGCAGTGTTTCACAGCAACAACATCAGATACGGTACAGCATGATATAGCAAGAAAATACCCCATTTTTACTTTCAGCTGCATTAATCAAGGTCAAGCAGATATATCAAGCATGCAGTTATGCATCCCATGGGTCACCAAGTGGAACATTTTAGTCATTATTCCAAACAGATAAATATCAAGCTACCAACTGCCTGTGAAAATCTTGCCTTCATCAAAAGCCTCTTCATTATCAAGAAAGTCTAGTGGAGACTTTGCTTGCATATTCCCCGGATTCCTGTTATCCCTTGCTATCCAAAGGAAGAACCAAACAAGGCTATGCCCATTAAGTAAAGCCGTACCTCACACATGGCCTTCTTGGCCTTGTCATTCGCAGCCCGCACGCTGCCCACTAGCTCTTCATGGTCTTGAGTCATCTGTTGAAGGTCTGCCTCCAGCTTTCTTTTCCCATTGTTAGCGGACTGGAGCTGCAAAGCAGGTGGACATGCCATTCGCTGCTTTGCCATATAAGGCGCGTCTATAAGTCTATAAGTAACTGTAACTTCAGTTCAGTTCAGTTTTATATGCACAGCACATTTTTACAACATTTCATTGTCTCAAAGTGCTTTACATTATCCCTACCCAAAGCCCCCAGTGAGCAAGCAAGAGGCAACAGTGGCAAAGGAAAAACTCCCTAGGAGGAAGAAAACCTTTGGAGGAACCAGACTCAAAGGGGCAGCCCATCCACTAGGGGCCAGCAGAGGAAGTCAGATTAACAAGACTGTAAAATCCTCATTTATACTGTCCAAAGAGCTGAGTCTCCATGCAGCAGGAAAGTGACCAGCATGAAGGTACCACATTAAGTAAGCAATCTATACCCTATCTAGTAATGCAAAATTTTCAGTTTTCAGTAGAAGGAATTGCCTTAATGACTTCATACTGTACATTAATTTGCTAAATTACATATCCAACTTCTTCCATGATCATCTTGTTGAACATATGCCCATAATTTCTATAGCGTGTCTATGTACATGATTGGATGGAAAGCAGTGTCAGAGAAGCAGACCTGGTTACTTATGTCATTGTACTTTTCAGTCATTTCCAGCAATTCGGTCTCCAGGCACTTGCGGGCCCTTTCTGCAGCCTCCGCACCAGCACGAGTCTCCTCTCCCTCTGTCACCAACGTGGCACAGCGGCGCTCCAGCAGGGAGTGCTCCTCTCGCAGGTCCTCCTGCTGCCGCGCGTCTTCCTCTACTTGGGTCTGGAGATCCTGCAAGAGACAATAGTTTGTGAAAACAGCATGATTATGGAACACGTTTACCAATATATATATTCCTGTTCTTTAATTCGCTGGTATTAACTACTGGTAATTTTGATAATCTGTTGTATGTTTGTTATGAAGAGATGTCTGAGTTACACGGGGAATCCTGAAGATGGCACTGTGACCCTGCGTGAAACTCAGCAACAGAAAAAATGTATGTTGTACACAGTGAGATCAGGAATAATATGGGATTTCAATTTACTTCCTAATGACAAAGACTGATTTTGTTAAGTATTTTATGTGTTCAGTAAATTTACTTCAATTGCAAACTCAATGGTCTGTGCTCCTGCTTCATAATAATTAGTTTATAATTAGATATCAAGAATGTAATTAAATAAATTAAAATAGGGTTTACCAAATTATCTGCTCATTTCATCTGGTTATTTTGGATATAAGCATTTCAACCTCAGTTTTCATTTGTGAAGCTGCAAGCTCAGTTGAGGCCAATACATTTTAAACTTACTTAAATTACATCACAAGTACAGTTTTTTTTGTATGCACCTTTTATTTTACCGCAACCCTGTACCAGATCAGCTGGAAGAGAATTGGATGGATGGACATAACTTTTCCATTTGAATTTTAACTATTTATGTATCCTTTCATAACTTGAGCAAAACAGGGTGCTATCTTCACTGAATTCCCAATTGATATCCATCTGTTTATTTTGTTAATTTAATATTATTCAAGTTGTCAGGCGCAACATCTGGGTTTAAGCTTAACCATGCTGATTTGGCTATATCAAATTTGGCTCCTTAGCATGAACTGAAACGCCTTTGTAAAAACATACAATATGTTCATTTGTCTGCCCTGAACTTTATCTCTCAGGTTATACAAAACAGATTTCGCGATGCCTCTTTTAAACCCTAAACTAGTTGGTTCTTGCAGTGCTTAAACCACTTCTCTAGTGATTAGCCACTTTGTTTCTGATTCTGTCAGTCAATATGAAGAACAATGGTGACAGGCTTAATTGTCTAGGACAATGAGCAATGTTTTTGTTTCTGTCAAATTTCATGCATGCTGCAAATTATTTTTTTCTGTTTGCTTGTTTGTTTTACTGTTTAATAATCTCTGCTTATGGAATAATCTAATTTCCATGCAGACATTCTACCTCCAGCCATTCTTTGTTTCCTTCATTGCCTCCTTGATCTACCTTGTTGTTATTTAAGTGTTACTGAAGCCCTCAACATTTTTGGTCATGCTCCAGATCAACAACTGCTTCTGAGGATGTATTTCTTCAAAGGGCTCTCTTCATCCTTCCCTCCTGCCAGTCTTCTCTGTTATTAACTTCCCAGATTTTTCTGCTGGACCATATGCTGCTTTTTCTCCCTGTCATTGTTCAGATTTCATTGTAATTTCATATAATTTCCTCATGCCCCCTTGTACCCTGCAGCTTATTCCGAGGGTAGGAGATACTTCTTCCTATTTTTATGTATTTTTTAATCCATGTTCTGTTACTCTTGTATTGGCTTTGCCTTTTTCCCAAATTCTCTATACTTTTTTCTATACCTTTCATGACATACCAATGATAGTTTTGAGGGTTTTTGAAAAGCCCCAAAAAACATTATTCCCCTTTTTTACATTTTAATGTTTTTCCTTAATTTTAAATAGTCGGTTGGAGATCGCATTTTTTTCTTGTCCATGTAAAATAACAGTGTAATTTAGTTTTCTGCAGTTCCATGCTTCTGATTGGAATTTTGTGGAGCATTTCTGGCATTTTCCACAATACATTTTTAGACTGTGACACTCAGCACGACCTAAATTCTAATCTCGAGTTTTGGTCCATGAACTCTCATTATACTGCCACTGCTTCTTGGCTTTTGCCCAGTTTAATGACTACCCATTATAATCGGAATATAACTATTTTACTGATTAGTTTTTTCCCCAAATATAATCACTGGTACCTTATGGTATACAGTATATGATATTGGATACTGTTTCAGTGTCTGCAGGATCTTTACTTCATTTCTGAACAAACATACACATTCTGTGACAGGTAATGTGCTAGAAGCTACTGTGCACACCTTTCCAATAACAATGGATAATTCAGGGACACCATATTGAAATATTGAATCAGAGAAATTCACACTCAGTACTGTAAGATGAATTCTGTTACTGGTAATGTGTTGTTTCACAGCTTTCGACTAATATCCTGCAACATCAAACTACGATTCAGGAATTAAACTTTCGGGTAAAGGATATTCCTGAAAGAAATTATTATGTTTAGCTGCCTTCATTGTTTGCGTAATAGTTTATGCATCGCACAGGGTTTTTATTGCTGTCATAGCTCAGACATTTAAACTGGGCCAGATGATTGAGCATCTCTAAGGTTTACAAATCTAATTCAAAATATTAACTTTAAATGTAAATCCTGAAGTTTGCTTTAAATACGGCTCATGCATGTATCTATTACAAGAATCAATGTAAGGGCTTAGACCCTTAAGCACCATCCATCTGCAATAAAACTGCTCCCCGCTCCCTGTGGCATCTTGAGGGAATAAAGCTTACTTTAATCTGCAGCTGCATCTTCTTAATAGTTTTCATCAGTTCCCCGTTGTTCTTAGTCAGTAGGTCCAACTGGAGCTCCAGCTCATTCAGGTCGCTCTCCAGTTTCTTTTTCAGCCGGGCAGCTTCCGTACGACCTTTAACCTCAGTGTCCAGACTGGCCTGCAGGGACTCCAATGCCCTTTGGTGACCTTTTCTGGAAAAGACAGGAGAAGTAAAGTCCGTGTGACTTTCCATTTCTTGAAGGCCATTTCAACTTTTGTGAATAAAATAGAAAAATAGAAATTCTTATATAGGAATTGTTTTTCTTCATAAGGATAAGATTTGGCATTCAAAAAAGCAGAGGGGGTCGTCTAATCAGGGCTGTCTACTATTCCGGCCAAAACGGTAATTACATTCCCTTAGATGCCCCAAGTAAAAAAAATAAATGAAAACTTTCTTTAAAAAAAATTAAAATACTTCCACTATCGACATTTAGCTGCTTTGCTAAAGAGTTTATTCAAAGGAACTTGTGCTTTTCCCCCCCGGGCTGAACATTTTGCTGGAGTTATTGGAGTCATAAAGACTTAAACTTAAACTGGCTCCCTTTCAGGTTACAAAGCCAGACACCTGACTGCTACACTTCCCCTGACATGCAGATATGAGATAAGACTGTTGCATGTAAAAACGTTCCAAAACCCAAACAATATTTTACGAGCGGAAAATGAACAGACAGGGGAAAGACACGTACCCAAGAAGGAAGCCCCCGTCCTCTATTCGTGAAAGCAGGAAATTAGGGAAGAAATGACAGGATCCGGTATTAAGCCATCACGTTAAGGATTAAATGGTTGAAATGGTTAAGCGTTTTTGGTTAGGTATTGATTTGAAATCGGCAGGTATTTCAGGTCAGTAAACTGTCCAGCAGACAGTCATGATGCGTATGGTAATAGATGCATATTTCGGACAGAGAGTGAGTCGTCTGTAAGGGCTGGAGGCACCTGGTTGCTTCAAACTCCTCCTCTTTCTCCTGCAGCCGGCGCTCCAGGTCCCCCTTGGCCTGGGATAACTCCAGTTGCAGACGAAGTACCTTAGTCTCCTCTGCCTAGAAGAGATTAAAGAGCAGATGTCTGACTCCTCAGTCTTGCCAAGCATCCCCCATTACCCGGTCATCTGGAAGAATAACCATTACTCTCCCAGAGTTGCACTGTCAAAGCAGCTGTATTACATTATTAATTATTATCGAAAGTGTTCACATAATGCAGAAGTCTGAGCTCTTTTAGTGATAGGTTTCTTACCTTTTTTTTCTCCAAACCAGAAAAAGATGTAATGATCAAATGACGTTTAGTGCATCTCAGTATTATAGCTTATACAGAACAGTAATGTATTGCCCATTAACAGGTAAACCATATGTAATATAAATATTAGGTAATTTGTAAGGGAAAAGAAGAGAAGACGATTCTCTTACTATAATGATGTCGTATTATTTTCTCTTAAAGGGAATGCAAACCTCACCTGTTATGTATAAAGTCCTTGTTATTAATCAAAACGATTAGAGGTACTCAACAGTCAAGTTATGTGCTGCATTGTGCTCTAAATAGGTATTTAGAAGGCATTATATGGCTAAGAGAGCCATCGTTAGGGCAGTGAAACCGGAGTGGCTGTAGAGGGCCCGGCCCCTAGGGGCCCCGTTCAAAACAGAAATTTGCCTAGATAATAGATAGGCTAAATAATATTGTTCTTGAATATTTTTTCCCATTGATTGAATGCACCCACATTTCATCTGAATACATCATTCTGGCTAGGGCTGTCATGGCACACAAATTTGTTGTATCCTGCTTGGTACATCGTTTTGATAATAACTGACACTTTATTGATCCCTGCTGGGGACATTTTCTTTAAACCTCCCCCGACCTGCTCTCTGTAGGTGAGAGCAAGCTGTCCGCAAAGGGCAGCCACCTGTGGTGGCCCCCAGGGAGCTGGGGGCTAAGAGCCTTGCTCAAGGACCCACAGACATAGCGAGGCCAGGCTCAAACAGCAACCTTCTGATCACAGGCAGAGAGGCTTAGCCCACTGAGCCATATGCTGCCCCCAGAGGGGCAGGTTCTGTTCTTTACACACAATGAAACAAATTAATGCATTTATTGATATGGGCATAACCTAAATTTACAAGTAAATGTTCAACACGGAAAACATTATGCTAATTGTGACTGTAGGATGGTTACAGCTAATGCTGGTTACAGTCAGTTAAAATCGGCAGTTTGAGAACATTTTGGTTTTCCAATGCAGCCTCAGATTCCTCAGGTCATGCTTGTATCTCCTCTTTCTCCATCTCCTTCTTGGCTACTCTGACATTGTTTCAATGATTCAAGGAAATGCAAGAAACCTCAAAGGCGGATGCAATGCATAGCTTTTGACAAGAGGATATGCAATATATTCCAAAGACATGGAAAGTTTATTGGTTTTCCAATATATTACACCAGCATTGGAGAGAGAGTAGCTGATAAGACCAAGGCTGTCTGTCGGTTCTGTTATACAACATCGTCTCAATGTGTGTACAACAGAGCTAGGGAGAAACAGCCTCTACAAGATCCCTCCCCATGGCATCTTAAGGCACATTTTTTCAGGAAATTCAGACCAGGCTAAAAACAATCATTTCAGCTATAGGGGTGTTTATCGCTACAGATATGCAAACATACTCGGTATTAGCGAACACACTATTTAATTCTGCAAATAAGCTTCTCTTAGGTTTTCTTATTCAGACACCTCTGCAGACGCATTGCTTTAGATTGCAACTCGTCGTAATTATGTTTATTTGTAGCTTTAATAAAAAATAATTTCAAAACAAATTCTGTTTTCCTAGTTGTACCGAACCGTGAATTTTGTGTACCGGTACACGCCTACTATTTATACACTGGAAATGCACTTAATCTAATGATTTACATTACTTGGTTTATACTCGCCTCAGGTGGGGCCCCGAATACGTTGGCTTTCCCGGGGCCCCGCCCCTCCTCAGACACTGGCCTGGTGGCTAATCACAATTACATTACATCACCTCACTTCTCAGCCATGTCTGATTTAAATGCCAATACTGCTCATTATGTCACCCACCCTGAAGGCTGAGGAGGTGTTGTTGATATAATGCAATACTTCAGACATTGTTTCAATTATTCAAGGAAATGTAACAAACCTCAAAGGCGGCTGCAATGCATAATATTCGACAACAAGATACATAATTTATTCCAAAGACATAGCAAGTATCATACTACCATGGCACTGAAGAATTGTATTTTCCTTATAATTTACCTTTCTCTTTTGTTCTCTCAGTCAAGGCAATAAACAAACAGCTTAGTATGCAGTTACCAAAGTAAGCCCTCGGCAACAAGTAAAGTACTCCAAGAAGGAACTAATTTTCACTTCCTCAAAGCAAGCCTGTGTTAATTAGCTTCCTAGCCATAATCTTGTGGCCGCAGGGCCCATCCAAGAGTAGCAGCCTCGTGCTAATCTGCTCTGTTCCACAAAGTCTATGCTACTTCTCTACTTTCACTGATGGGTCATTTCTATCGTGGTGAGTGTTAAGACAGAAGCAAAAACAAGAATGCATTATTCGAATAGTAACCTCACCTGGTGTTCCATGTTTAAATCTGCCATCATGTGTAGGTAAACTCTCAACCTTGCAGCTGTTACAGTATAGCCTCAGGGAGTATAATTTACCACCGTGGGGGTAATGCATACTTTGCATTACTCATTTTAGGATGAACTGTTGACTGAAGCTCATCATTATGCCCTTCTCTGAGAAAAACTTATCAGAATGCATTCATTTGGAACATGTGCTGTTCATTTACTGCTCTCTGCCAAGTAATGTTACCATTTATTATACGAAGAGCCCAGGACTGTGCAACTATGGGTATAACCACAGCAGACTTGCTTTCTCAGTACCTCCAATGCCACCTCAGACTCCTCAAGTGAGGCTTGTAGCTCCTCTTTCTCCATCTCCATCTTCTTCTTGGCTTTTTGCAGCTCATGGACACTCTTCCCGACATCAGCCAGCTGTTCATTGAGATCAGCTACCTCCTCTAAAATAACATCAGAAGGAAAATGGGAGGAACAGCAACTCAGTCCTGTATAATTTTCAGTCATATAGGCTTTCATGTTTAGGTACCCTGGGAAGTATTTGTTTTCAACATGAGTATTTAGCTAACCCCTCTTGTTGCAAAACGTTCCAAGCAGTTCTACATTTCTCTCTCGACTCCCCCTTTAAGTGTTCTTTCATCAGACTTCGGTTCCGCGTGTGCCGCCTATCACCCCTCACCCAGGAAGGCTTTATTCTCCCTCCGGAGGGCCTCCCCTTGCTCCAGGTTCTCCTTCTGGCAGCCCTCTACTTCCGCCACCAGCTCTTCGCACTTCTGTCTCCAATCAGAGAGCTGCTTCTCCATCACACGCTGCTTCTTATCCAGTAACGTCGCAGAGCTGCTTGCCTGGACACAGGGGTGTGAAGGGAGAACTTCTGCTATATTCAAATAGGCCAAGTATTATGCAGAAAGTTGACCTGAAATTTATTTGAGAATTTATACCTTAAGTACTAGAAAATTCAGACCATATCCTACACAAAATTATAATCAGAATCTGTATTAACATATAAAGAAGTCTGACTTCTGAGACATTTCTTTTAATCCAGACCCCTCTAAATCACAAGGGTGTACAGATAAATCTGTCTATTAAACATATTAAAATTATTTATGGTTAAAGCCTTGCTGTGGAAACTAAATAATTTAGCTTTACGTGAGACTCATAATTACAGATTACATTAATATCTTAATTATAATCCTAGTCTTTACCATAGTAATACCTATTTCAGAAGAATTGGTCACAATATTGAAATTTCTGATTATTTAACCAGAAGTATACTTTAAATAGGAATGTATTTAGTACAGGGGTAGGCAATCCTGATCCTGCAGTGCAGGTATCTGCCAGGTTTTCTATCCTACCTGGTCTCTGATGAGTCACACCTGATATCAGGCAGATAGTAACTCATCAGGTAGGATAGAAAACCTCCTGGATACCGGCACTGCAGGATCAGGGCTGCCTTCCCCTGATTTAGTGTATCATGGTGTTAAAAGGTAAGAGATTCATGCCTACATTCAGTAAATAGTGCTTACCTTCTCCAGGTCTAAGCAAAGGTCCTCCACCTCCCCTTGTAACCGTTGCTTGGTTTTCTCCAGGCTAGAGCATTTAGCTTGGGTAGCCTCAACAGCTTCCTCGGCCTCCTGTAGCCGTGATGACAACTTCTTCCTGTAACACAAATAACATCAGAGATACCAATGCACCGCACCTACAAGACACTAAAGATCAGTTGGTCACCTTAAGTCAACAAAAATGAGAGAATAACCCTTTGCCAGATTCCCCCTGTCTGTATACAAAGTATAAGTATAAGCATGCTCAAGGTATAGAAATTTAATAATAATTCCAAACTCCACAGGTCAGAGAGGTGCTGGATACTGACTATTCAAAGTTTTCTATCACATCTCTAAAGTTTCCTTTTGGGTATTATGGGTAATAACTGAGTACTTGATCATTGCAAAAACTGGCCTTGTAGACAGATACATGTGGCTTCGTGTGCAAGAGCAACACCACTATGACTATTACGAACAGACACTAACTTGGCATCCTCAAGCTCGTCCGTGTGCTGAATGGCTTCGGCCTCATAGCGGGTCCTCCAGTGAGTGACCTCGCTGTTCAGCCTAGACACCTGTCGCTGTAGCTCCAGCTTGCTCTCCTGCTCCTCCTCTAGTTGCTCCTTCAGCAGCTCATACTCCTGTTTCAGTGTGCCCAAACTGTGTCCGAGTGCTGTTTTCAACTAGTGGAACCCAGTTGAAGAGGGAAAGATTAATCAGAAATTTATAGAAGCGGGGTAGAGATATATATTGAACGGCAGTTTTAGTCCTCAACAAGGCAGCTCCTGTTAGGTATTGAGCTTCCTTAATACAAGTAGCGACTTTTTGTGTCTTATAGGTAAATTAATAAATACATATGGCAGGGAGGGAGCAAAAACATGGACTGTCTGCAGGTCCCCGAGAACCAGATTGGGACATTGAGTTAGAGTGAAAAAGCAGATCCAGGATCCTACTTTTAACTCTTCTTCCAGCTGCTTCTTGAGCTCTTCAGACTGGGATGTCAACAGGGCTTTGGCCCGGTTCATCTGGCTGGACCGGTTCTCTGCCTCTTCCAGTTGCCGACTCAGGTCATTATTTTCAGCTAGAAATTGGGAGTGTTGCATCCCAGTTAGCATAGTGTAATGCAGCACGGACTTGGTGGCGTCAAACAAAATTGCTCCATGAAACTTTTCAATGTTCCAAAGAGGAGCAAAGCATTGTTATTTCACAATCAATTTTATCAGGAAACATTAGCTGTGGCTTCTCTTTATTTGAATATGTTCAGAATTTACCATTGCAGCACTATGAAACTCAGGATTTTCTATACTTTATGCTGATCTGACCAGTCTGACCATAAATTTTCACATGACATATGTCCATTACTGCACACATGATGGCTACTACTGCTGTGAAAAAAGTGCTTTCAGTACTGCTCCTCTGATTAACTGTATTCAAGAATGACTTAGGCACTCTGTGGTTAAAGTGCTCTTAGCTATAATTCTTAACATAGAAGGGTGTGGAAACTTTATAGGTAGAACATAATAATTTTTACCACTTAACAGCCCAGGGCTATGTAGTTTAATGGTGTCTGGTACCTGACCCTGACTTGTTTCCAGCAGATGCTATAAAACCTATTTTTCATTGTCCTACTAAATCATCACACTTTTTCTGCTTAACACAAATTTAATGTAGTTCAGCACAAGACTGTGTAAAGGAAGTTAAGTGAAAGACTTCCTTGCACTCAGTACATGGATAAATCTGAAACCTTAACCTGACAAGTACATTTTTCTGTTGTACTTCACACTCCTCCTGATCTGTAACAAAGTGTTTGTTTCATTTTAATGCCACATACTCATATTGGTACCAAAGCCCTTCAGGGTACAAAAAGCCTTAATTATGTGCCTCCGCAACATCTCAGAACCTAAGCATGGATTTGTCTTCAACAAGTCAACGAATGTAAAATAGAACTACATGGGGATTTATAAAATCTTCTGCTAGGATCTGTCACCTGTAAGCCGGTTCTTGGCAATGTTTGACTCAGCCAGCCCCTTCTGCAAGTCCTCATTCTTGAAGTTGGCCTCAGACAGAATTTCTTCAAGCTTCCGCAGCTGGTTGTCACTAGCGACCTTTTACAAGGCAACATATGTAATGTTAGGGCCCTCCAAGGGGAGGGCTGAGGTCTCTTCTGGTCTCTCACCTGAAAATTAATCAATCTGAGGCTATTCAGCAATCCCTTCTAGAGCAATATTATATGTGTGGATGCATGATATAGGTTCCAGCCCCCTTGACTGGATAAGTGACTGGAAGATTGATGAATGGATCATCAAAAAATGGATTTATATCTAGCTTATTCACAACTATAAAAATAAGCTATCCATTCCAGAAAGATAAGCCGATCACAGATCGGCACTGAAGGTCCAGTCTGTATACCTTGGCCTTCTGCAGATTCTCCAGGTTAGTGGTGAGGTCATCCAGCTCAAGGCGCAGGTTGTGCTTCTCCTTCTCCAGCTTGGCACGGGTCCTCTGCAGGCTTTCGCACTGCTCGCTGAGCTCGGCCAGCGCGTCGCCGTGCCGCTTCCTCAGGGTCGCCGCCAGCGCCTCCGACTGCAGCGAAGACTCCTCCAGCTCACGGCGTAGGCGCTTCAGCTCAGCTTCACGCTTCTTATTCACCTCAATCTGCATACGGGTGAGCAGGGGGTCTCTTTTAATGTCCTCCCTCCTGTATATGCCATGTGCACCAGGAATTGTCCCAAGCAGAAGCTGAACTAGATGCCATGATTTTGTACATGATATGTATGTTTGACCTCTGAGAGTAATATTTAAAATAAACTAGATTAATAAAATATAAATCTCTGAGCATGAACATGACTAAACTTAGTCACAATCACTTTTAGTTAACCTTGCTGCATCTTTAGAGTACCTCAATAAGCATTTCAACTCAGAATGGCATGGATTGACTCAGAAACACTTTATAAAAAGGATACATGAAGCAGCATTAATTCACACATTATTGCAGGAGAGAATAATCATTCATTTACCCATGAACTGCATTATGAGTTCTCAGGAAAATGTATAAAGTAACCAGGTCACATGCATGCTTTAAGGCATACAGTAACTAGTGCACTGTAGCTCAGCAGGCTAAGCCTCCCTCCCACTGATCAGAAGGTTGTTGGTTCAAGCCTGGTTTCAATAATACAATCATATGTCCTGTGTCCTTCAGCAAGGCCCCTAACCTCCAGCTCCATGGGCATTGTGGGTGGGCACCCTTCACTGCGATTCCAAACCATGCCCTGTTTCACTGACAGCCCGTTACAGTAGATAAAAGGAGAATTTCCCCACAGGAATCAATGAAATATCATCATTAAGGCACCTACATCATTAATACTCACAATTCATTAACTGGTAACGCTTTATATTAAGTGCACCTTCATAATGCATTCATAGAACATTCATAAGCAGCATGCAAGTACACCTTAACATCCTAACATCACTTAACAGCTTTAATATACATTAATAACAAACATTACATGATTATACAATTATAATTTTTGTTATTAATTGATATTACAGTTGTTAAGGGATGTTAGGATGTAAAGGTATACATGCATGATGTTTATGAATGATTTCTGAATACTTAATGAATACATTATGACGGTGTACTGAACGNAGTTCTACATTTCTCTCTCGACTCCCCCTTTAAGTGTTCTTTCATCAGACTTCGGTTCCGCGTGTGCCGCCTATCACCCCTCACCCAGGAAGGCTGTCTTCAGCTTGAAGAGCTCAGCGGCATGCTGCCGGCTCTCCTTCTGGCAGCCCTCTACTTCCGCCACCAGCTCTTCGCACTTCTGTCTCCAATCAGAGAGCTGCTTCTCCATCACACGCTGCTTCTTATCCAGTAACGTCGCAGAGCTGCTTGCCTGGACACAGGGGTGTGAAGGGAGAACTTCTGCTATATTCAAATAGGCCAAGTATTATGCAGAAAGTTGACCTGAAATTTATTTGAGAATTTATACCTTAAGTACTAGAAAATTCAGACCATATCCTACACAAAATTATAATCAGAATCTGTATTAACATATAAAGAAGTCTGACTTCTGAGACATTTTTTTTAATCCAGACCCCTCTAAATCACAAGGGTGTACAGATAAATCTGTCTATTAAACATATTAAAATTATTTATGGTTAAAGCCTTGCTGTGGAAACTAAATAATTTAGCTTTACGTGAGACTCATAATTACAGATTACATTAATATCTTAATTATAATCCTAGTCTTTACCATAGTAATACCTATTTCAGAAGAATTGGTCACAATATTGAAATTTCTGATTATTTAACCAGAAGTATACTTTAAATAGGAATGTATTTAGTACAGGGGTAGGCAATCCTGATCCTGCAGTGCAGGTATCTGCCAGGTTTTCTATCCTACCTGGTCTCTGATGAGTCACACCTGATATCAGGCAGATAGTAACTCATCAGGTAGGATAGAAAACCTCCTGGATACCGGCACTGCAGGATCAGGGCTGCCTTCCCCTGATTTAGTGTATCATGGTGTTAAAAGGTAAGAGATTCATGCCTACATTCAGTAAATAGTGCTTACCTTCTCCAGGTCTAAGCAAAGGTCCTCCACCTCCCCTTGTAACCGTTGCTTGGTTTTCTCCAGGCTAGAGCATTTAGCTTGGGTAGCCTCAACAGCTTCCTCGGCCTCCTGTAGCCGTGATGACAACTTCTTCCTGTAACACAAATAACATCAGAGATACCAATGCACCGCACCTACAAGACACTAAAGATCAGTTGGTCACCTTAAGTCAACAAAAATGAGAGAATAACCCTTTGCCAGATTCCCCCTGTCTGTATACAAAGTATAAGTATAAGCATGCTCAAGGTATAGAAATTTAATAATAATTCCAAACTCCACAGGTCAGAGAGGTGCTGGATACTGACTATTCAAAGTTTTCTATCACATCTCTAAAGTTTCCTTTTGGGTATTATGGGTAATAACTGAGTACTTGATCATTGCAAAAACTGGCCTTGTAGACAGATACATGTGGCTTCGTGTGCAAGAGCAACACCACTATGACTATTACGAACAGACACTAACTTGGCATCCTCAAGCTCGTCCGTGTGCTGAATGGCTTCGGCCTCATAGCGGGTCCTCCAGTGAGTGACCTCGCTGTTCAGCCTAGACACCTGTCGCTGTAGCTCCAGCTTGCTCTCCTGCTCCTCCTCTAGTTGCTCCTTCAGCAGCTCATACTCCTGTTTCAGTGTGCCCAAACTGTGTCCGAGTGCTGTTTTCAACTAGTGGAACCCAGTTGAAGAGGGAAAGATTAATCAGAAATTTATAGAAGCGGGGTAGAGATATATATTGAACGGCAGTTTTAGTCCTCAACAAGGCAGCTCCTGTTAGGTATTGAGCTTCCTTAATACAAGTAGCGACTTTTTGTGTCTTATAGGTAAATTAATAAATACATATGGCAGGGAGGGAGCAAAAACATGGACTGTCTGCAGGTCCCCGAGAACCAGATTGGGACATTGAGTTAGAGTGAAAAAGCAGATCCAGGATCCTACTTTTAACTCTTCTTCCAGCTGCTTCTTGAGCTCTTCAGACTGGGATGTCAACAGGGCTTTGGCCCGGTTCATCTGGCTGGACCGGTTCTCTGCCTCTTCCAGTTGCCGACTCAGGTCATTATTTTCAGCTAGAAATTGGGAGTGTTGCATCCCAGTTAGCATAGTGTAATGCAGCACGGACTTGGTGGCGTCAAACAAAATTGCTCCATGAAACTTTTCAATGTTCCAAAGAGGAGCAAAGCATTGTTATTTCACAATCAATTTTATCAGGAAACATTAGCTGTGGCTTCTCTTTATTTGAATATGTTCAGAATTTACCATTGCAGCACTATGAAACTCAGGATTTTCTATACTTTATGCTGATCTGACCAGTCTGACCATAAATTTTCACATGACATATGTCCATTACTGCACACATGATGGCTACTACTGCTGTGAAAAAAGTGCTTTCAGTACTGCTCCTCTGATTAACTGTATTCAAGAATGACTTAGGCACTCTGTGGTTAAAGTGCTCTTAGCTATAATTCTTAACATAGAAGGGTGTGGAAACTTTATAGGTAGAACATAATAATTTTTACCACTTAACAGCCCAGGGCTATGTAGTTTAATGGTGTCTGGTACCTGACCCTGACTTGTTTCCAGCGGATGCTATAAAACCTATTTTTCATTGTCCTACTAAATCATCACACTTTTTCTGCTTAACACAAATTTAATGTAGTTCAGCACAAGACTGTGTAAAGGAAGTTAAGTGAAAGACTTCCTTGCACTCAGTACATGGATAAATCTGAAACCTTAACCTGACAAGTACATTTTTCTGTTGTACTTCACACTCCTCCTGATCTGTAACAAAGTGTTTGTTTCATTTTAATGCCACATACTCATATTGGTACCAAAGCCCTTCAGGGTACAAAAAGCCTTAATTATGTGCCTCCGCAACATCTCAGAACCTAAGCATGGATTTGTCTTCAACAAGTCAACGAATGTAAAATAGAACTACATGGGGATTTATAAAATCTTCTGCTAGGATCTGTCACCTGTAAGCCGGTTCTTGGCAATGTTTGACTCAGCCAGCCCCTTCTGCAAGTCCTCATTCTTGAAGTTGGCCTCAGACAGAATTTCTTCAAGCTTCCGCAGCTGGTTGTCACTAGCGACCTTTTACAAGGCAACATATGTAATGTTAGGGCCCTCCAAGGGGAGGGCTGAGGTCTCTTCTGGTCTCTCACCTGAAAATTAATCAATCTGAGGCTATTCAGCAATCCCTTCTAGAGCAATATTATATGTGTGGATGCATGATATAGGTTCCAGCCCCCTTGACTGGATAAGTGACTGGAAGATTGATGAATGGATCATCAAAAAATGGATTTATATCTAGCTTATTCACAACTATAAAAATAAGCTATCCATTCCAGAAAGATAAGCCGATCACAGATCGGCACTGAAGGTCCAGTCTGTATACCTTGGCCTTCTGCAGATTCTCCAGGTTAGTGGTGAGGTCATCCAGCTCAAGGCGCAGGTTGTGCTTCTCCTTCTCCAGCTTGGCACGGGTCCTCTGCAGGCTTTCGCACTGCTCGCTGAGCTCGGCCAGCGCGTCGCCGTGCCGCTTCCTCAGGGTCGCCGCCAGCGCCTCCGACTGCAGCGAAGACTCCTCCAGCTCACGGCGTAGGCGCTTCAGCTCAGCTTCACGCTTCTTATTCACCTCAATCTGCATACGGGTGAGCAGGGGGTCTCTTTTAATGTCCTCCCTCCTGTATATGCCATGTGCACCAGGAATTGTCCCAAGCAGAAGCTGAACTAGATGCCATGATTTTGTACATGATATGTATGTTTGACCTCTGAGAGTAATATTTAAAATAAACTAGATTAATAAAATATAAATCTCTGAGCATGAACATGACTAAACTTAGTCACAATCACTTTTAGTTAACCTTGCTGCATCTTTAGAGTACCTCAATAAGCATTTCAACTCAGAATGGCATGGATTGACTCAGAAACACTTTATAAAAAGGATACATGAAGCAGCATTAATTCACACATTATTGCAGGAGAGAATAATCATTCATTTACCCATGAACTGCATTATGAGTTCTCAGGAAAATGTATAAAGTAACCAGGTCACATGCATGCTTTAAGGCATACAGTAACTAGTGCACTGTAGCTCAGCAGGCTAAGCCTCCCTCCCACTGATCAGAAGGTTGTTGGTTCAAGCCTGGTTTCAATAATACAATCATATGTCCTGTGTCCTTCAGCAAGGCCCCTAACCTCCAGCTCCATGGGCATTGTGGGTGGGCACCCTTCACTGCGATTCCAAACCATGCCCTGTTTCACTGACAGCCCGTTACAGTAGATAAAAGGAGAATTTCCCCACAGGAATCAATGAAATATCATCATTAAGGCACCTACATCATTAATACTCACAATTCATTAACTGGTAACGCTTTATATTAAGTGCACCTTCATAATGCATTCATAGAACATTCATAAGCAGCATGCAAGTACACCTTAACATCCTAACATCACTTAACAGCTTTAATATACATTAATAACAAACATTACATGATTATACAATTATAATTTTTGTTATTAATTGATATTACAGTTGTTAAGGGATGTTAGGATGTAAAGGTATACATGCATGATGTTTATGAATGATTTCTGAATACTTAATGAATACATTATGACGGTGTACTGAACGTTTTATGAATGCAATATAAAAGCATTATGAAGGTGCAGTTAATGTAAAGCGTTACCTATTAATCATATTCATGCCATAACACTTTCTGTCTCTCATTTCTGAACTCGGATGTATAATTAATCCGCTTCTATCTGTGTTTTATGGAGACGCTGGTTGACTTTTAGTACTGTTACTACAACACGTTACTCATGATTCTCCTCTGAGTACCTGGGATGCTGTGGCTCCTCCTGCCTCCTCCAGACGATCAGTCAGGTCATCCAGCTCACGCGTGAGGTCAGACCGCTGTTTCTCCACCTGCGCCACAGAGAAATATACCAGCATCATGCAAACTGCTACACACTTAGTACTTAAACTTAATCACACGTCAGACTGTTAGCTATCTAGCTCACCAACAACCTTTTCATCACTCAGCACCCATTGTCTCTGTAACTTATTTTAAGCACACAAAACTCGCCATAAACGCTAAAAGCTTAATACATCTAAAGCATAACGCACTTCAAAAATAAACAAATTAAATATATGGCAGTTATCAACGTGCAATTTTTTCCACTTGAGCTCATTTCTGAAGCTGTCATCTGTTTCACAGACAGATATGTTGTGTGGCATTGTTCAAAACCCAGCAAAGGGATAAGAGATACAAATTAAATCCAGAAAAACATATTTCATTTCATTGTTATTGAAGTACTGACAAAAGATGAAAGGGATATGCGGGGCCGGAATACAGCACAGTACAACTGACACTTCTGAAGTGACAGAACTGGGCACCATGGCATTGGAAGTGATCAGTGGAGATCAGCAATGTCTATGAAGAGTTGATCTGATGTGCAAAATCCAGGTTTCAACTTGGTTGGATGGATACATAATTTGAAACAAATTGAAATTTTTGGTTGAAAAAATTAAGATAATAAGAAAATGCCTTAAGTCACTGGAATCTAGCAGAACAGCAAAGACAAAACCATGCAGTTAGGTCAACTGCTGTTTGTAAATTGTCCTGAGATGGACTGGCATCCCAGACAGGGTGTCCTCTGCCTTGTGCCCTATGCCACCCCTGATGGGCTATAGACTATGCATGACGTTAAGTTATAATAATATGATTGACTTTATTATATATTCATCACATTTAGAAATTTTCTTAACAAAATTAGCAAATGATTAATTGTGACCTGGTTTTCTTCTGCCAGGACAACTGCTCAACATTTTAGTGGAAGTTCAGTGGAATGTTATTGTGAATATAAAAATTTTCAAAGGACAATATAGAAGGATTTGAAATATTCATATATCCTGGTCTTAATTTAGATGAAATTCCATAATAAAAAGGGAAAATATACTGTATTTACAAATTTTGTCTTCAAGAAACATATTGTTATAAACAATTAAGATTATAAGATTACATAAATATTACACAACCATTTATCTAGAATATGGTCATAGTTCGCCTGGATCAATGGAAGGGAAGGGCTTGAGGCAGGGGAACACCCTGGATGGGATGGCCATCCATTTCTGGGAACATACACAATCACACATTACGGGGAATTTATAACACCAATTCAACCCAACACAAGGAGAACACCAAGCTGGGACTGGGAATCATACCCTCCACCATAGAAGTGATGCCACAGTTCCATATGTGTAAATAGAACAATGGAGACAAACATACTTCAAAAATCATCATACCACCATGTATAGCCTCCCGCTAGAGCCTCGAATAGCTTCAGAGTGATTGACCCTGAATTTTCCCTATACTGTAGGTCCAGAAGTGCTGTCTGTCTAAAACATTGCATATCCTCACATTCTAACATTTCAATGACTATGTTAACAGTCACTTTGTTCCATACATCACACTGCTTCAACAGTTAAAGCTTAAAAGCACAGGAAGAGCTGAACTTCATGTCACAGCAGTGTCCTCTTTTCATCGCTCAACTGAAGGTCACGTTTACGTTTCTGTGTTCGTAACAGCGGGAGGGGTTGGGGGGCACATTCCTTTTAAAATGATCTCACAGTGATGATGTTATCATTTCTGATTCTATCTTACTGACCCAAGCAAAGCGACGGCATGTCTGTGTTGGTCTTTCAGAGAGGTTTGTTTGGTTTTACTTTCTGAAGCCACCTAGGTGAAGCAGCAGGTAATAAGATAAGAATGTGCATGTCTGTTCCTGATAACAACACCCTTTTGTGAATATCATGGGGGGCAGGCGTGCCGAAGTGCTTTTAGGATTAAACCATTAAGGATGATGCAAGTGCTGCAATATTTGTCAAATAAATCCATATGGTAATGATTTTTACACAGCAGTAGTGGTGTCTTATTGCAAAAAAAAAGTTTTAATCGTTCTCCTAAAGAGAGCAGCAGAGCACAAACGATATATCAGTCTTACAAAGAAAGATCTGAATTAACATTTCTAATTCTGTAATGAAGGGATTTTTTTTTTTGTTTTAGTCTATGTCATGCTGCCCCTCAAAGGATCGTGACCTTAATGTGATGGAGGGGGTTCCTTATGCCAATTTACAGAGCTATGGCAAGCAGAGTTGAGCTCCTGGCAGAACCCCCCCAGGGGAACACATTTGTGGGGAGAAGCCAAACAAACCAACAATCAAGTGATACAGCAAAGACTGCCTGTCTGGAGTTGTGTTACCAGGACCAGCCCCAGGGGGTAGGCCAGAGGGGGTGCTCAGCCCAAAAGGGTCACCACCCACAAGATAAATGGTAGGGGTCAGATGGAGTGCCATTTGGGTGGCAAGCATGAGCGGCAATGATCCAGACAGATTAGACCTTAGCAATGAACTCTGACTTGGGGAACATGAAACGTTATCTCTCTGTCCAGGAAGCAGTCTGAGCTAGTGCTAGAGCTATTGGCTGGATAGAGTTGGCCTCACCTCTACGCATGGTGTGGACACTGGAAAGAGACCTCATGATCTGGGATGAAGGACTCCTGTTCCAACTCTAGAGTTCCTCATGGTGAAAGACCTCAAGCAGGTATGGGAATACTCTCATGTCCCAGGCTGACAGCAAATTGCCTTAAGAAATGCAAGTTGTACTAAACAGAATTTTGAAGTACCCAGCCTTTTTGTGGGTGAAGTGCTCAACTGGGAGTGGTGGGTGAATGGTCCAACTGGGAAAGTTTGATGCTCAGGTCGGAAACAATAATGAAAGCATAAGGGGCATGATTATGAAGAATGGTCTCATAGATCTAGACCTGAGTAGTATATATAGTACCAGAGCACCCTAGACTAAAGGTCAGTGATTGACTTTAGAGACGTGTAATCAGATTGGACTATGTGTTTTAAAGCCTCGGATGAAAAAAGGAGCAGAGCTATCAACTAATCACCATTTGGGAGTCAGTTTGATTTACAGTAGCACATGGGGAGGAGGTCAGATAAACCAGTACAGCCCCGATGAGCAGTCAGGATTCTCAGCTCACACCTCCTGCATGCCCAGTAAGGTCGAGGACTTGGAGTCAAAATGGGCTGTTCAGGGCTTCAATTATTACAGTGGTTGGAAAGAGCTACGGCCAGGAATCAGTCAGTGCCTGTCATGGATATAGACCCAGGACTCACTGGTTGACACCTGCAGTGTGGAAAGCTGTCAAGGTGAAGAATGAGGCCTTCAGGGCAATTCTTGCAAGGGGGTCTTAAGTTAGCTGAAAGGCTCGGAAGACTACAGTGATAACAGTGGTGTAGTTTGTGCATGGGAGGAGTTTGAAGAGGCTAGAAGGGTTTGAAGAGGTCTCCAAAATGTTTTGAAAAACATGCGGGACCTTACTTAGGCTTTATTCAACACAGGTGACATTGTGCTAACCAACTCTAAGGATATTATCGAACAGTGGAAATCACACTTTGAGGAACTCCTTAACCCAGTGTAAATGCCCTCTCACTAGGAGGCATTGATAGAAATATATATATATCTGGTGGATGTGAGTCTATTAGAACATAGTAACATAAGAAATTTACAAACGAGGCCATTCAGCCCATCAATCTCCTTTGGGGAGAATTCAGCTAATACCTCAGAGTTGTTAAAATCTTATCTAGCTCTGATTTAAAAGACCCCAGGGTTTTAGCTTGCACTACACTAGCAGGAAGACTATTCCATACTCCAACTACACGCCGTATACAGAAGTGCTTTCTCAAATCCATTTTGAAATGTTCTCCCGCTAATTTTCACCTACAGTATGGCCATGCGTTCTAGTATTTAAACTAATATTGAAGTAGCCATTTGGCTGAACAGCATCCAGACCTGTTACTGCTGCAGATGAAGTCACAGTGATGATCAGAGGCCTCCATAGTAGAAATCCATCCAGTGAAAGCTCTTGTTTGTTAGTGATGGCAAGAGGAAATATGAGATTGCCAGGAAGATCTTTTTACTGACTGCAGTTATGCAGGCACTGGGAAGGTCTGTGTTGATGAAGCAGAAGGTAAGTTTGAAGACAAGGCCTGTGGTGTTCTGGTCAACCTATGTCCCTATCCTCATCTATTGCCATGGGCTGTAGGTAATGAAAGTTATGAGTATAAGCAGCTGAAATGACTTTTCCCCCAGGATTGCTGGTCTCACTCCACTGCTTCAGATCAAGAGGAGTCAGCTAAGGTTGCATCTTATAAGACCACCTGCATGGCTACCAGGGAGCTGTTTTGGGTATGAATCACTGGGCGGAGACCCCGGTTATGAGCCAGGGAATGGTGAAGGGACAGGCGGGAGAACACTGAGGAATCCTCTAGAACAGTGTTTCTCAACCCAGTCCTCAGCAAACCCCAGCCAGTCCACGTTTTTGCTCCCTCCCAGCTCCCAGCCAATCAGGAACACCAAATACCTGGTACAGGTGTGCTGGAAGCTGAGAGGAAGCAAAAACGTGGACTGGCTGGGGTTCGCTGAGGACTGGGTTGAGAAACACTGCTCTAGAATGACCGTGAGTCTACAGCCAGGGACAGGGTCTGATCTGCCCAGCATGTTCACCAGGAGAAGTGGTAGGAAAATTACCTGGTAAGACTTGGCTATCTAATGTTATATTGACCTCTATTTATACAGTTTAGTTACATTAGTTTATTTGAGAGCACTAGGATGATTTGTATTGTTCATCCTTCCCTTTGATTAATACACTATAATTACCCCAATAGTGTCATTTCCTCAACTGCTATTTCATATTGTAACTCCACTGCACTTTATTTGGCAACTGTTGTCTCGACTTATCATGTCTTCTGTAAAATAAATTAATCAAGAATTTAACCTGCCCTGGAGGAAGAGTTCTGAGACAAAATGCAATTAGGTAAAACAAGAGCATGGGGTAATTATCATGCAATCTGGTGCATAGGTTCGTATACCTTTGCCCTCATGGCTTTTTCTGTCTCCAGCTCCTCTTCTAGTTCCTCAATCCGCACCTATGATTGGATGGGAAGTAGCACAAGGTGACTCACTATGTTCCCCAAGTACAATAGGCTGGACATATGCTTACAAATATGTTCTCTACATTTACTCTTTCAAACAGGGTTTCAGTATTCCGTAAAAACTGATTACATGAACTTTATATGCAGGTTTAACAATGGTAAAAAGCTCTTAACAGTTAACATTTAATTAATAAAGGATACACAGATAACATGAAGGTTAGCAAATGGTAGCACAGGAATCATTTTATTTCTCTCCGTCTTTTAAAAACAAAATAGAGCTTCGGCATGTTCCTGTATGAAAGAACAACTTCCTGATAGAAGTCTGTTTGCTTTCTTTGTAAAAAAGCATCCATAAGGTTCTCTGTGCTCCACATGTATCACATCACTGACCCTTAACCTGTGCTACTGTTATTTACACATGGTTAATACACCTCAAGATTAATTGAAATATTAAAGGCAAACTTGTACTGAGTATACTATACTCAATTTTAAAAGACAAAATACTCCGCTGTTTTGAAGTCCATTTAAAAAAAAAAAAAGCCTAAATTAAATATACTGTAAGTGATAACATATAATTCACAACATGTCAAGAATTACAATTTTAATACCAAAAACAATGAGATAGCACTGCAGAGAACCTGCTGCAGTAACAAGACTCCTCTTAAAAGAAAGTCTTTAAAGTTAGTGGTGGGATAAAGCAGAAGAGGCTTAGAGGTTGAGTTTCTGTGAAAGAGCTTAATGTTTTATTTAAACAAAGTCCAGACCTCCATCCTGACTCGGTTAAAAACTATATATCTAAAGTCCAAAAGCATTTTAACTGAATGCATAATGTCAGACTGCAATCCCGAACTACTGAAGACAAGCACTCCATATTCCTGTGAATATTTTGCAGATAATTATACCTTGCATAAAGGAGCTTCAGACACATGGGCAAAACTGCTAGATAAGAGAACACAGGGATTCCTGCGAAAGTGCTCAGAATACACCCAGAGAGTTCACTCCATAAGACAACACAGACACATTCCAGTCTTCTATTCTCCTGTCATTTTATCACTGCCATTGTCCCTTGACTTTAATCCTCCCATAAATCTGTAACATTCTAGATCTTCAACATTTTACACCATTACCCACTAAAACACCATTTGGTAGTGTTCTACCAATTAATATATCCCTCAATCTCCACCAGGCGATATTACATGCCAGCAGCAATGGTATTTTTTAATGCGAGAAAGTTTCTCAGATAGAATACAGTCAACAGCATAGTTACTGGAGTACATGCTTTATCATCAGAAATATGTCACAATACATGTTTGCAAAATCCTAGTTAGACATAAAGTATTCATTTTGTAAAAGTTTAAATATGAACGCATTATCACAGGCAAACAATTTTCAGCACCAGCAAAGTTTATTCACTTCTTTGAAACTTTTACTCGAGAATAATATGCACTCTCTCCATTCATCATTCATCTCCCTGCCTGAGCCTGAGGAAAAGTTTGGCATTCAGCCCTTTCAACCAACACCAGAAATGTTCCAGTTCTTTATGGGGGAGGTACATGAAAACTTCTTTTTTTTTTTTGCATGCAAATTTCCTGAACAGCAAAACCGGACCTCCCTCAGCAGCGAGGGACAGAGGAGCCAGGCCCGTCCTGGGGAGTTGGTACTCACATGCCAGCAGAGGACTTCGGCAGAGAGTGCAGCCATGGTGCAGCAGCAGCAGCAGACTGACTGCCTCCACCGCCCTGCTGCACTCTCTTTAAGCACCAGTGGGAGTGAGTCCCCCCCCTCCAGTGGGAGTGAGTCCCCCCCC